AAAAGGTATACGCGCCTGTGTCTCCCGTGGAACACCTTCGCATTTTCCCCATGTTCCCATAGTCAGAACTACATGAAATTTACAGCATACATGCATTTGATGTGTATCTACCAGAATACGAGTAGAAGCCTCACCGGACACATGCTGGGGGAGGAGAATGAGCCCGACGCGACCCTCCATCGATGCGCCATTCGGCTACCTCACCTATTGAAGCAGCAAGCGCCCGCCCGCCCTCCCGCCTCGCTTAGTCTACAGCGTCGGTCGTCGTTCCGCTGCTCGTTGACCTCTCCTCAGCTCAGTTGCTGAGTTTGTATTCTAGCCATGGTGTACTGTTTTTTCTGAGGTATATTCGCGCGGGGGAGTAGCTCTGGAAGGGGCCTCTGGTCACATCAATCGTCCATCACCATTCAGGCGCCGGCTCAGAAGGAGAGGAAAAAAATAAAGTGGGAGAATTGAGGGAGGCTACTGCCCATGCATGATTCGGAATCATAGATGCAAGCAGCATGGTTCTCGTGTATCTTGAGCGCCAATCGATGGATAGTCTCCCTTGCTGCGAGTATTACAGGCAGTTGGGACATCGTCAATCTCTGTCTAGATGTCTGTCAAAGTGAATGTACTTCTTGTCGGCGCTGGCGAGATAAACTTTGGTATGTTATCTGGCCGTATCCGGCCGGAATAAAGAGACATCTGTTGACTGTACTGATTGGTGCAGGTTCAGTGGAAGGTCCCTGGAATCATGTAAGTGTTGCGGATTTCTCATCCAATGGTGTGGTGCTCATTGCGATATGAATGGCTGTATTTTCCGTAGACCTCACGCTTAGAGAAGTGTGTATTTGCCCGCGTGCCCATCGACCTTTCATTGCTAGACACCCGGACCCTTACTACCACCCACCTTCACAGGATCTTGACTTCTCGATTGCGCATCGTGGCTCTCGTAGATCCCGACCAATCGCGTGCCTTCGCTGCGCTTCAGTCAAAGCTGGCATCAGCTGTCGCCGGCGTGTGGAAGGATTGCAATCTCTTCCCTTCCGTCTTTGAAGCCGCAGCTTCACTTTCCCCGGAATGCGTGCCTCAGTAAGTCGTCAATCTCCCTCATGTCTCTGTCACTATCTGGGTTGTTAAAAAATAAAACGCCCACGGTAGGATTGCCATCGTTGGCGCCCCTCCATTCGCACGAGGTACTGACATTGCGGGGCGGGATCTCGAGTTACAGCTCCTGAAGGTGTTCCCGGCATGTGCCCTCTTCATTGAGAAGCCTGTGAGCAGCGGTCCAGAAGAGGCGTCTTGGAGAGTCGCACAGGCACTCGCAACACATGGAACGTTAGTCGGCGTGGGTTACATGCTACGCTACTTGAAGGGTGAGTCATTCTTTGGGGAAGGAACTAGACTCGCAACGCTGAAGCTCCGGGGCGAAAAGCTGTGCAATTGATCAAGTGGGCTCACCGTTCAATGGTAGCGTGACAAATGACAATATGTTACGACAGGAAGGTCATTTCGGACAATGGGCTGGTCGTAATGGGTACCAATGCTCGATATGTCATGGCGTAGTGAGTGATTTAGTCTGCCGTCTATTCGCACGTCGACTTACGGAACCCATAGCGAATGGGCAAGGAAGCCAGTGAGAACAGGCTTGGCGGCACCGCCCTGCAGTGGTTGGCACGAACTGACGGCATCGTAGGCATGGTGGGACAAAAGCCGCTCGGGAGGCCGTAAGTGTCCTCCGACTGATTGTCATATCGGACGGCTGTCTTATCTATCGATGCAATGCTAGCGATCATTGAGCAGGCAACACACTTCTGTCAAGTTTTCCACGGGGCATCCTCTGCAAGAACTCAGACTGAACGAATATACAGGTGATCTCTCCCGATACTTTGGCGGGGACGTACACCTCCCTTCCGTGGTCGCCCACACGGTGCAGCACAACGAGCCTCCTGGCGAATTATCGGCTAAGCGCTTCGATGAGGACCAAATCCCTGCAGAGAACAGATTGCCGCGCCTGACCAGTGCAACTTGGAAGTACACAGGCGGTGCTGTCGGCACATTGACCCACGTCATTGCGTTGCATGGTAGGGACCTATGATGATTGGCTCGGCGGATATTCAGACGGACTGTCGCAGGTACGACTTACGACACCGAGTTCGAGGTCTACGCGGACGGATACCATTTCAGGCTCGTCGATCCCTACTCCATACCGAAGTTGTATATAAGACGCCCCGGTGTGGCCGAAGTCGAGGCGCACACATTCACCAATGTGGGCCGATAATTACTCCCACATTCCTTTGAGTCAAATTCATGTGAGGGCAGGACGATCCTTTCCACACCGAACTAGCGACCTTTGTGGGTGTAGTAGAGGGAGACCGTCGGAATGAAGCGATTCTGAGTTCTTATGAGGACGCTATCAAGACCTACGAGTTGGTGCGTGGATCTCAGCACCTCGGAAGGTGTGCCGGACTGATTAGCCCGGAGGTATAGACCTGGGCCATTAGGCGGAAGAGCGAGCGTGCCGCTGAGGATTACAATCAGAACCCATAAGGTCCATCGAAGTGTAAAACGCAACATTTGCACAGATTGGCTGTCCGTTCTGCGTTGGACGCTATGGAGATAGGCTGGTAGAGGACGGCTATCTTAATCAGGAGGACGAGTAGTGGTCGGTCCCGATGGATGCAATGTACGAGACCCTCGCAATGGTCATGCAAAATGGACCATGACGGAGTGCTAAGATTGCCGCCTCCGGTTAAGTTGGAGCGGTGGGACATGGCGGGGGCCCGTGGCAGATCGTAGGAGAAGCTCTAGCGAGTACCGCGCTCCGGTGAGAGCAGTACGTACTGATAGGCGACATGATAACGATCTGGATGGTTCAACTGTTCAACCAAAGGCGTGTATCAGTTTCAGACTACCAGGTACCGGACGGCATGTAAGTTGACAGACACGTGCGGAACGTGCATGAGGATTCATCCTGGAGACGAACGCAAGGCTTCGAGGTCTGCTTTGAAACATTACCGAGTAGCACGGGTACGGGGTACAGATCCAGCTACTGCCTCATGGCTGAGTATCAATGGCCTGAAACGTACGAGCGGAATGTATTCCTGTGGACGAGCAACATGAGGATGATCAGAGAGGCTTCTAGAAGCATCCGACTCACCGCAGCCACCCGTCGCTCGGGGAGATTGTCCGATGCTGAGCAACCGCGGTTATCGGGCACCTCGTCGCAGAGTTGACGCGAGGCAAGGCGATCGCCCACCGTTACGAGAGGTTCTGACGGCCGCCCGCAAGAAGCTGGGGTACTGTCTTGGGTTCACATCATGTGCCACTTGTGATGGATCGGAGACCACCTGGGATGGAAGAAATTTCAAGCGTAGTTGTCAGCTGAGTCGCGCGGCGAAGTGAGAATGCCGTAGGTCCAAAGTCTGTTGGGCACAATGTCAGGACAGCGTTGCTGCGATGCAGATGAGCACTGGCGTGCTCTGAGCTGCGGTCTTGGTGACGAAGACGTGTTAACGGACCCCAAAGAAACAAAATTAGAATGGCTCAACCTTGGAACAAGACTTGTGTCTGCTGCGAGGTGCATAGACTCTGCAGCCTAGAAGATGACCACGTTGTGTAATGATCATGTGCAACACCCTGCTGAGCCTCTCTCGTACCCACAGAACGGAGGTGCAAGACCTCGTCTCCATGAAGCAGGCGCGTCATGAATGTACCATGTGCCTCGATCGAGATGCCGTAATGCTCACCCACAAGGGGCATCAGGCATGACATCTACAATGTGTTATCAACTCCCAGTATACCAACATCTGAATAGACATAATGCTAAAGACTACATGCCTGACAAATTTATGATCACAATCACAAACGAGGAAATTTTCAAGAACGACATAACTGCATCGGCGCAGAGTCTGCCAGCGGAAGAGGAAGAAACGCGTCCGCGGGTAGCGTGGATGCGTACGTGAGCCTTAGCAATGTATATGGGGCCGGACGAGTGATCCGCACGTACCTCCATAGGTTCAGGTCCGCGACCGCCACGATGCCAACCTAAGTACCTTCCATTGGAGATACCGGCCTCGAGGCTGTCTGCAGGCCCACGATCACTGATATTCGCGTCATGCGTTTCTGTGGGATTCAAAGACTTCTCATCACCGTGAGCATTGTACCGGGACACAAGAAAGAGAAAGGAAGTACGGTGCATGTCTTGGTTCGAAGAGAGCAGTAATGTGCCACGGGCGTTCCAACCACCTATCAAGAAGTGCGCGTACAAATTAGGAAGCTATGCAAGAACACGCTGACGTGGGAACCACCCGGGAAAGTAGATGCAGGGTTGGGCAAGTCTCACGGACAACCAATGAGTAGGAGGACGAGTGTCAATTGGTGCCTACAAGAGATGCGATGCGCTGATAGGTCGGCTGTCCTCAATTCGTTGACAGAAGAGTGCGGCCACGAGGCATGAAATGCGAGGCAAGAAGGTGTCATCACGTTATGGTTTATTGATCGTTTATTTGTATCGTAAACAGAAGCTCATCGGTGCATACGTATCGCTGAACTTGACATAATGGGTGTAGAAAGCTGATTTGAATCACGAGGACGAGACTGTTCCGATCGATGTTCCATGTCGTAAGGTCTGAGAAACCCTACTCTGCGACCTTACCTAAGGGAGTTTTGGCCATGACGCTCAAAACCTCGTACAAGACCTACATGCCGGTATCAGCGACCCATAGTGACGGAAGAACGCAAAGACGTACGTCAGCTGCAGCCATGGTAGTCAACTCGGCGTTGGTGTCGTACGCCGGTGCCACCTCGACAATATCGGCAGAGACAATATGCAAGCCATCGAGACCCCTCAAAATCGTCCGCAGCTCACGTGTGGACCAGCCTCCAGTCTCGGGAGTACCGGTGGCAGGTGCGAATGCAGGGTCGATGGAGTCAATCTGAATGAAGCATGAGCTCGATCTGCGCAGCAATGTGTGAGCCTACAGAAGCCCACGCACGTCGATCGACAGATACACTGGCTTATCTCCCACCGTCTCGCGTATTTTCTTGATGATTCCGTCGGTTCCTGTATTATACTCGAAGCTCAGCGAGAATGACCTGGCAGGTCGGAGTCAGGTCGGGCACGTACCTATGGTGTCTATCTCCCTGGCTTCGATACGCTGGAAGCCGGATGCGTCATCGTTTGCATAGTCAGCTGGACCAGACAGTGTCGTGCGAATGGCGCCATGCTGTGGGCAATACGATCAACTAGGATCACCAGTCTCCGCAAAGGAATAAAACAGAAGAATTGGGCGCCAGAGGTGATAGTAAACGATACTTGCAATCGAAGAGCCGTTTTTGATGAGTCCCTCCTGACTGGCCCAGTAGAAGTACGTGCCGTGATTGATAGCGGCCTGATCCGAGGGCGCACCACCGAACACCTGCGGCTTCCAGGTGTCCAGATGGCTATCGAAATGAATGACAGATATCTGACCGTAAGCACTATAGATAGAACGAAGTAGCGGGAGGACGATTGTATGGTCCCCGCCCAGAGTGATGATGCGGGGATGATGTTTGCCGTCGGTTGAGATAGGAATGAGAGGTTTTCCGGTAGAAGAGTCGTTTCCGAGGGGTGAGAACGTCGGACGATGAAGAAGGTCCCTGTGACCATCTTCGATTTGTCTGATTGCGACCTTGTTATCGTAAGGTGTTACAGGGATGTCCCCACAATCAACGATCTTGAGACCGCTGAGGAAAGGGTTGACGGCGAGAGGAACGTTGTAGCCGCCGTAGAGAGTCAAACGACGCGAACCAGCACGGATTCCAGCTGGTCCGAATCGCGCACCGGGCCGGTAAGAGGTACCGGTATCCTACCAATGGTCAGCGAGCATCACTAACGAGATACAGACTGACATACGAAGGGCGCCCCGATGAATGCGATATCGAACGAGTCGGTCTTGTCCTTGCCCAGGCACTGGACCCATGGCAGCTTGGCAAACGTGGCAATACCAGAGAACACGGAGTCCGCAGTGACTGTAGCAGATGAGCACCCTGCATAGTCGGAGTTAGCATTGGGACTGGACGAACCATCGTTATCGCCAGGATAGTAAACAGCTTGGTATGGGAACTTCACATAGTCGAGGGGCATTTGCAGGTCGTGCTCATGATCGTCATGAGCAAGAGACATGGAATCGGCGATGGTGAAGAACGCAACGACAAAGAGTTGAAAGAGCTTCATCGGGGAGTTTGTTGTCCAGATGGAAACTGCGGTCTGCTCTTCGACGGAGGAGCTTAGTTATAGGTATTCCCTGCAGGCCTAGAAGCAGGCGTGAAATTTTCAGCGTCACGAATCTCCTACCTCATGACCTGCCTTCGTAGATGCAAGATAGGAAGCGTCCCCTCAACGGAAGGAACACGAGCGAAGCACCGCCCCTCTTACGACATGAGGTTCTGGGTATGACCGCAGGCGCATGGGATGGTATCCTATAGTGGCCTAGTCTTCACTACGTGGGGTGGCGGACATTCAGAATCAGCTCTTGTTATCTCTCGGTGCACGCTGCACATCGGAGTTTGCGCAAATCTGGAGGCCGGATCCGCCAGCAACAGCACGGAGCTTGTGCCGGAATGAGGCCATTGTGGATGGCGGGCGACCGCTGGCACCGCAAGTCCGGACACGAAAGGCGTCCGCATGACTCACGATAGATGCGTACGTTTTTGAAACAATGAAATCATCAGTAGTTAACCAGGAAAACGCGCGCAAAGAGAGGTACAAAAGTCCCACTCACATCGCTTGGGCCCCAGGCGGTCTCAGATAGACCTAACATCCGTCAGCCTCGGAGCCGATCGTTCACAATGTCCTCCTCGAGCTCCCCTCATGAGCGACAGCCCTTGCTAACGGAAGCGCATCAACAGCGACAGGGACCCTTGACCGCTACAAGCTGTCCGACACTAGGTGATGACGAGACGTTGAGGTCAACCGACTCGCCTGCCTTTACCGGCTACTCGGACCATCAGGCGCTCGGGGCGCTCTTTTCTTCTCTCCTCACCGACTCCATCCCCAGTGGGCATGCAACCTCAACTAGATCCTCTACATATGGCTAACGCACTGCTAAATTTTAGTTATACTGTCATATGTACTCCAGAACTCCATTCAAACCGTGTCTGTTCTTGTCGCTGGGAGACTTGGCCCCGATGAGCTCTCTGCAGCCGCGTTCTCGCTAATGCTGGCGATGGTACTAGGTGAGAACATATCCTGCCATCGCACATATAAGAATGAATATAATTGGTTACTTAGGATGGTGCATTGCGCTCGGCGGTACGACGGCTTTAGACACTCTCGGCTCACAGGCGTTCACGGGAGGTGATCGGGCTTCCGTTTCTGTTCACCTGCAACGCTGCATTACTCTCCTCTGGCTGCTCTTCGTTCCGGTCGCCATCTTCTGGACATATATGGAACCTGTGCTTCTGCTACTTGGTCAAGAGGAACGTCTCGCGCATGACGTGCAATCCTTCTTGAGGGTCCTGGTCTTCGGGGCTCCAGGGTACATCGGCTTCGAGAGCCTCAAGAAGTATCTGCAGTGCCAAGGTGAGTGTATTCAATGCAATCAGCCTGTTACGAGCGTAGATTGATTCCACGTTTACTATCATCGTGTCACCGTGCCCTGCACGATGACCTGCGCGTAGGGATCATGCGCGCCTCAACTTACGTTCTCATTGCCGTCGCACCCATCAACTTGGTTCTTAACGTGATTCTCGTACACCACACATCTCTGGGCCTTCTCGGGTCCCCCCTCGCTATCTCCATAACGTTCTGGCTCTGCTTCATTTTCCTTGCGCTCTTCACGTACCTTTCACCTGCGCATCGGAAGAACGGGACTTGGGCGGGCTTCCACTTTGGGCTCGTGCTCGATGCCGGCAGCTGCGCGAACTTTCTCAAGCTCGCCCTTCCAGGGATTCTGATGGTGGGCACTGAATGGTAGGGTGATATCGTTAGGCCTTGATACGACGTTCGCTTGACGTTACTCTCAGGGCAGCGTTTGAGATCGTTGCGCTGGCTGCAGGACGACTAGGCTCATTGCCCCTGGCGGCTCAGTCTGTCATAATGACGACTGACCAAAGTGAGTCCATTCCTCTCTACATGTAATTTACTGATCAATCAATGGGTAGTCATGAATACTATTCCGTTCGGGATTGGTAGGCGAAGACCCTCCGTCTCTGACTTCCTGTTCACGTCTCTTCCTAACAGGTGTAGCCGCCTCTACCAGAGTAGGCAATCTCATCGGCGCACGCCTCCCCGATGCTGCGAAACGTGCTGCCCACGCCTCTGCTCTCCTCAGCGTTGTGATCGGAGCGATTGTTATGGTGGGATTGGTCACTACAAAAGACGTAAGCTTTGACCTACATATTTCTAAACGTCAACTTAAGTTTATGTGGCATGTTTCAGATCTTTGGCTACATCTACAGCGACGATGACGACGTCGCCGCCCTCGTGAGCAAAGTAATGCCACTTGTCGCTTCTTTTCAGGTGGGGTCTCCGTCCATCTGACTTTTGATATATAACAAGCGAGTCACATGTATTGCAGATCGCAGACGGTTTGGCGGGCTCCTGCGGTGGCGTGCTACGTGGTCAAGGTACGTTCTAGGCCTCTCTAACGCCCCATCATACCTATCGTAAAGTGCTCCAGGTCGTCAGCACCTGGGAGCGTTCTTTAATCTAATTGCATACTACGTTCTGGCTCTTCCGCTTGGTGTCACGTTAGCCTTCCACCCCAACACTCACTTGGGACTCCAAGGCCTCTGGATAGGTACGTCCGTTCTTTTTTATACTGGGACACGCTCTCACGCGACACTTGCTAGGGCAAGTCATCGCACTATTCATTGTTGGGCTCGGTGAATACACGGTGGTCTGGGTCGGTACAGACTGGGAGAAGGAAGTCCGGCACGGTATCGAGCGGAACCAAGCCGAGGCAAAGAGAAGGCAGATGCGCGAGCATCGTGGCCAAGTCGCAGAGACCGCATAGACTCCAGTGGAGAAGATTGGTCATTTGCTGAATCGAGAAGGGATAGAAGCATGTCTTGCTACGCGTCTGCTGGTGAACGAGATGGCGTGGTACAATGCGATGTAACGTAAGATTTTGCAGGATGCCTGTGCAGTAATACCTTATCATTCCAACGTACACGGCACAAGCCCGGGCCGGTTCCGAGCTGCCTGGGCCTCAGTACTTGGTGTATGCTTCTTGCACTAGGTCTAGACCGGCAGGGCGAGTCCATTCGAGTCCGCACGGATATTTCGAAGTTCAGATTGAAACCTATTAGAGGTGTGGAAGAATACTTGCCCTGGTTGGCCGGAGTCGGTGGACGATTATAGACGACTCTGCAGAATCCGAGTCTCTCCTGTGGATAATGCGGTCCCAGATGACGCGCATGAGCTCGACAAGCCCAGGCCAGCCCTGCTCAGCTGGTAGCCCAAGCCGAGCCAGTGGCGCCTCCCGTCGCTCTCATCGAGACCTGTGCCGACGAGCAAGTCCACGGCGAGATAGCAATCAAGGGGTGACAGTATAAGAACGTGCCCAGCTGGGGATTTGATCGACACTACTCCACCGTACACCATCACCTCCTATTACTCCCCACCAACAGCACACAGACGAGTACCGAACGTGAACGATGGTCAACCCAAACAAAGTCACGGAACGCCTCTTCCAGTCTCCTTCCAAGTACATTCAGGGTCCGTACGCCATTCACAATGCGGCGAAGTACCTTGGAAAACTCGGAAAGACACCACTGCTCATTTGCGATGAGATTGTTTGGAGAATTGGTGCGTCCAGCGTTTTCCAATACCCACTACGCGTAAGCAGTAGCTAACTAGGATCTCCGCGCTCTGCGAGTGTAGCGGGCGAGGAGCTCGTGGGCGCGCTCGAGAAGTCCGACTTCAAGATCCACCGTATAGTCTTCGGCGGCGAAGCCTCACGCGAAGAGGTAGACCGCATCGCGCAGATTGGACGCGATAAGTCCTCCGACTTCGTCATCGCGCTGGGCGGCGGGAAGACGATCGACACCGCCAAGACCGTCGCAGATGGCCTTGCGCTCCAAGTCGCGATCCTCCCCACCACCGCGTCTACAGACGCGCCCTGCTCCGCGCTCTCTGTGCTCTACCGCCCGTCAGGGGAGTTCCACTGCTACACCTTCTTTGACAAGAACCCGAGTGTCGTGCTCGTGGATACGACAGTCGTGTCGAAAGCCCCTGCGCGCTTCCTCGCGGCGGGTATGGGGGATGCGATCGCGACGAACGTGGAAGCGAGACGGTGCAAGAACAGCACAAACTTCGGAGGCGGACTTCAGACGGAGGTGTCTTCAGCAATATGCGAGAAATGCGAGGAGATATTGTTCAAGTATGGGAAGCAGGCGTACGAGGCGAACAAGGCTCATGCAGTGACTCCTGCGTTGGAGGCGGTTGTTGAGGCTAACACCCTGCTATCCGGGCTTGGTTTCGAGTCTGGTGGGCTGGCTGCGGCGCATGCGGTGAGCGAGCTATCCTGACTAGATGCATGCAAGTGGTTTGTGCGGTACTGACCGACCTGTGCGAACAGATCCACAACGGCATGACGGCGATAGAAGAATTGCATGGGCTACTGCACGGCGAGAAAGGTATGCCGTAAGAAACCGAATAAAGTGATTCAAGCTGACACGTAAATCCATCAGTCGCGTTTGGAACCATATGCCAACTCGTCCTCGATGGAGTTCCCACCTCCGAGCTCGATCGCTACATCGAGTTCATGCTCTCAGTAGACCTTCCAGTCACCTTCGAACTCCTCGGTATACCCCACGTGAAGGACGAAGAGCTTCGTCGCGTTGCCGAGCTATCTTGCGCGGAGAGCGAGACTATCTGGAATCTGGACCGAGTAATCAATGTCGACTTCGTCTTCGGTGCGATCAAGGCAGCCGATGCTGCAGGACGAGACTACATCCGTAGGACGGGTTGGAAGAAGAACTAGACGGGTCAGGATGTATACATAATAGCAGTGTAGCGTAAAGTTTAGGAAGCAATGTCACAGTGTACAGTACGATGTACAGCGAATTCACCAAGTTGCTGTGAGATCGATTTGGGATTTGTCGGCATCTGATTGGCGCGGACTCACATGCCGTTGGAAGCGGCTTCGTTCATTTTGGTCGGTTGACCATAGACCGCCATCGCCGTCGACCATCCTGCCTGAATCCTATCTTACTAGGATATGCACTATCGCGGCACTCTCAGTACCATTCAAGGACGTGTAGAAGAGTTGGCATGCACGTATCAAGTTGTTGTAAGAGCAGGAGGCAGCGATCGAATCAAGTCGTATTTGGCATCGGCAAGGGCTTCACCGATATAGCAGCTTCATAAAGCGTTGGATAACGCGATTTTAGGTGCGTGTATCTATCGAATAGTCTGTTTGTCATGCATAAGGGTCAGAAGAACTTCAATGCATTCCGGACTATCCTAGAGCAAACCGAGGGCTAGACTCCAGCAAAATGCGATCACGCATGGACCAAAGGTGCCGTCATATTTGTTAACGGTGTCAATGTGTTGTTGAAACTTGACAGCGGTTAGAGAGCTCGTTGGGCAACAGCTGGAGAGTTAGGAAATGTCCTTGACAACTCAAAACAATTACGTTGCGCAGGGAGAGAAGCATGAGTAAGTGCGACGGAGTCGGGGATAGGTACGGAATCCGGGCGCAATAGTGTTCAGGGTGAGGACATTGAGCCGGTAGGGACGCTTCTCGGTACTGTGGTACCTAGACAGTCGCACTTATGTCGGTCGCAGGAGCCAACCGAAGACTCGGTGTGGTGGTGACTCGGGGTGTTCGGACATTCGCTTGCCTTGGCGACCCTCTAATGACATCCTCTCGTACAATTCTACAGGCCAAGAGGCTGATGGAACGTTCTATGTGGTTATGAATCAGATGAGGTCTCCCCATACATTCTGCTCCGCGAAATCATTCCTAAGCATATCGCACAATGAGCAGACGTGACTTTTGTCAAACCATAAGCACGTTACAAGCAAACCATCGTCTCCGTAGAAGTGTAATCTCCTCGTCACTATATGAAAACTGCGTTAGTCTGAAACCCCGAGAGCTACTATTTCCTCGGGCTAAAGCTCAGCCCGTTCAGCGGGCCGGGGGTGAACACGGGCCGGGGGTAGATGCGAGAGAAATCTGCATGTGGCGCCTTACATCCCTACATTATCATGGGTCGCAGCGCAAAGTTTTATAAACGGACGGTATGCCTGGTATCATTCCTGCACAATACTCGGTTTACTAAAGCTTTGACATGGTCGTAGGACAAGAAAAAGACCAGTAGCGCAGGATCAGCCCCTAGATCCGCTGTCCAATCTGCGCCCAAACCCAAAACTGCCGTCTCTGCCCCCACGCCGAAGGAGCAGAAGAAGCGCACCGGCTTGAAAGAGAAGGCGAAAGCGCACAAGAGCAAGCGCGAGGGCGACATACCTGTGCTCGGCGGCGCGGACTACGTGGAGCTCATGCTTGGAGGGAGACGTAAAGCGGCAGCGGAGGCGGCGAAGCTTCCCAAGGACCCCGACTCGTAGACCGCAGTGATCGGATGAATGCAAGGAGGAACGGCTGCGCCGGCGACGAGCGAGGAATACGTCTTGCAACCTTCCGGTCTTCGTGGATGCCTTGGCGATGGGCGTTGGATGTCAGCTACAGTTGACGTTGGTTGGTTGTCGGTGGGGGACGGCGAGGTGCGTACCATCGGCGAATAGTACGCCATTGTAGAAGATACCCATGGTCAATTATCTGCCGAAAGGCTTCCGTTGGGTGTATCCTGCTCAGGATGAGCAAGTTCGGGCCGCCGCGCGATTACTGTCTGGAGACGTGTCGTAAGTGGTCATGCTACCCCGTCTTATTCCCTGCTCGATGCTGACGATCAGTATCTAGTCGCGCTATGTAGTTCTCATCAGGCCTCACGCTGATCTCGGACCTGGCGGGTAGAGGATGCGATGCGGCTTCCCTAGTGGGTCAGCATCTAAAACACCCAGCGGCACTGCGCAGCTACGCACCATGCATTCGTCCCATCATGATCGTGATACTTCCGAACTTTTGGTCAATCCTTCGCCCTATCTTTCCTGTATCACGACGTCCAGTGGGTTGTGCCATAACTTGCCCGTCGTAAAGTGCAATTATGCAGATAAAGTGTATAGACGTCATTCACCCGTATGAAGTCCGGGGATTACCTCGCGGTAATACCAATCACTCATGCATACGCAGATGTCCACGCTGGTAGGACGAGAGACGGAAGAGTATACTTATGTAGAATAACCATAATCCTACACGCTACACGTACAACTAGGGATACAAATCATACAGACGCGACCTGGATGGGGGACGCATGAGTAAGTAAGATAAGCAATCGCTTTCGCAGAACACGAAGTCAAGAACGGACCGAAACAGGCAGCTACGACGAAGGCGGCATCGACAGCCGGGTGCATAGAGTAAACACTAGCGCGAGACATGGAAGGAGGCTAGGCTAAATCTATGGTCGTAGCCAAACCGGTTTGCGAGAAGACGATCGGAAGGGAAGCGAACTCAGACGATGCAATCGTCCTTGAATGAGCGAACGGCGCCCTGGGCGTCGACAACAACAGTGCAAAAAGTATGGAAGGAATCATGCATGCACAATGAAGATGAAGCAAAACATATACACCTCGCGCCGCGGTGAGCGCAGGGAACCAGGGTCCCCCGCCGGATGCGCGACGGCAATGCGCGAAGAACGTGCTTAGACAAAAGAAGAGCACGAACAACTGAAACCCGTCGAAGCAGAAGTGATGTGAAATTGACTTGGTAACGCAACATGTGTTAACTTGCGGAAGGGAGCATGGGAGACTTCTTTCGGACCACCGACGACCAAGGAACAAGGACAGGAGCTACTCAGACATTGAAAGAGGACCTTCATCTTGACCTACGTTGAGCTGGGGGCTGGAGGATCGTGAAGCCATCCAAATCGTTCTCGTCCATGCTGTACGTCGACGCTCGTGTTGAAGACGTACCGTTCCGGCTGAACAGAGCCACGGGCGGCACGGGGAGCGGTCGCGTAGTCGACGCGCTTGACCGAGGGGTGTCCGCCTCAGCCACAGCGTCGAAGCTTCGCCTCGCCATGGGTGAAGGCAAGGGAGACGATGGCAGCGGCGCCAGGGGAGGCTCGCGGAACGTACGTCCCAGGCGGAGCGTCGACTGGTTCGCACTGAGGCTCAACGCTGGGCTACTGTTCCGGCTCTGCGATGGCGACGACGACTCCAGGGAGCTGAACGCCATCGATTGCCGTCGTGACTCGAGGCCTGCCATGTATGCGGATTGACGGAGCGTCGCGGGCGCGGTCATGACGGGCTGCGGCAGCTCGGGTATGTCCGTTGCGTCGTACATGGTTGCCATCTCAAGGATGCGGTCGATCTCCACGGACGACACAGACCCGTTCCCAGAGCCGCGGACACGGCGGAGGATCGAGTCAGGATTTGTTGCGAGCGAGTTGTCAGGCGTCACGGCGAGACGACCGCCCCAGTATGGCGATGTCCCAGCCATGGGCTGCGTCGCGGGGTCGAACTCGGACTGGCGTGCTGCCGAGCCGGACACGGTGAGAGGCGAGGGCGTACCATTGCGTGAACGCGGTGGGAGTGCAAGCGTGGACGAGCCGTTCATGCCATTGCCGAGCGCCGTTGCGCCAAGCTTGGAGTTGAAGCTGTCGCGGGCAGAGAGAGGTCCAAGAATGGTGCCCATTGACTGCTCGCCAAAGGGATCCCTAGGGTCCGGGGATATGGGCGTGATAAGGGCACTGCCCATGCGAATGTATGAGGGGTTCCGAACGTATTGGTCCAATGCGTCGTAACTAGACCCGGTAGGGGAGAGCGGACCAGGCGTGATCGTGGCGGGGCGCACTTGCATCATCTGCTTCTCAGGATCGTTCGGGGTTGGCGACGCAGCCAGCTTACTGAACTTGCGCGCTCGCCGCACCTTCCGTCGGTGGAGGAGATACCAAGTGATCATCACCAACGCGACGACACCGACAACGCCCACGCATACTGCGATGACGATAATAGCAATCCTGCAAGAAGGAAGCGATCAGTCAATTTCAGGGGACAGCGGGTCAAATGAATGAATGGCAACGGAACGATGCATGCGGAGCGAGGATGTCATTCGAGCAAGCAGAACGTCAAGGCAGTGAGGGATTGAGGATCGCACATGTAAGCTACACGTACTTTGGCGTGACATGGTCCTTCGAGCTGCTCGTATCCAGATTTGCGGTCGTAGATAGCGGATTTTTAGGAACGCAAGACGAGTCGCTGTTAACATTGCCGAGAACAGAGAGGATGGGCGTTGTCTCGTTGTGCCCGCTGTTCGGGTCGTGGAACATAAGCAGGACCTCGAGGTCCCGAGGCACATCCATGAGGTACGTGTCGACGCCTGAGGCTCCGTTCGACTCGGTCTCGTTGATCCTGAACGATCCCCCTCTGGGTACAAACGCACGGATAGCAGGGGAGCTGATATTCCGGGCGGCATCGTATGTGACAGAGAAGGGCTCGCACTGAGACAGCGTCCCGTTGATGCTGTACTCCGGCACGAACGGGACAGGATCCGTTGGCAGACACGACGTGTCTGCCGAGTCTGGGGGATCGATGACAAGCACGTCAGACACGAGGGCTGTTCCGTGGCCTTGCGCGTCATCAAGTGAAGCGATGAACTGGGTGCCGGCCGGGAAGGGGAGGAATGTAATCATGGCACCGGTCTCGGACGTCTGGTTCCAAGCGTCGAGAGGGAGCGGGATGCTGATGGGGGTCCCATTGACCGGAAGGACGGTGAGGGACAAAGGCAGAGCAGCGGGAGCCTTGCCACCAGCGAAGTCGACAGAGAAGTTGCCACACTGCTTGACGGGGGAGAAATGGATGGAAGAGAAACGTGCCGCGGCCTGGGGAAGGAGCGCAAGGACGAGCGCGGCGAAGAAGAAAGAGGAGCCAAGGCCGACCAGGGCGGGCGAAGAGGAAAACATGGGGAGCCTGCTCAATGCTAGAGATTGAGGGGACAACCGCGAAAAGAGCGGACGCGGTCCTGCTGGTCCTGCTTGGTGCACAGCGAACTTGAGCTGCCGTCTACGTCTCCTGGGACATCCAGAGACCCGAGGCAAGTGGTCGGGCAGTGCTGTGACTGACGAGTATGTACAAGACAGTGGAGGGAAAGGCACAGGCCTGGGAGGAACAGAGCCTGCCGACTCTCGTGCGCTTACATACTTACATCTCCCAACATTTCGCGGCTTGGACCCGGAATACCCGCCTAGTGTCAGTCTAGGACGCCGACATGGAACTGTCGGCTCAGCAAGTAATACATCGACCTCGACTCATCATGCCCCGCGCCACGAAACACTGACAGCACATGTACTGCGGATCCATACGTCCTGACCATTGAAAGGCATGCATTATTGTTGTCGCAATCGCTGGTTCGGTTTATCGGGGTCCTCCTTACGCCCGCCCTGCCGTGGCCTGAGCTGACTAGCTTTTCGTTCCTGGTGATCTGGAACTTCGCACAATTCCCTCTCCAGTCGCCATCCCCTCCCGCAACCCACAACGACCCTGCACGACAACGTGCATGACAATCGCATTCTGTCTCTTCTAGGTCCTTTAACGGTCGCCCACCCTCCCCGCCGACGGTCGGTAGTGATCCACAAATGTATGTCTCCGAGATTCGGTCATTCCGCTCCCCGCCGTTGCTAAGGCGATGACACCTTCTGCGGTCATCATGTACTTGATTATGTGCCGGTCCGTGAGAAGAGCAAGCCAAGAGCAGGGTCAGATGCAGCGTTAGCGCGCCGCCGGAACGACTGTAGTCCGTCGATCCCGATCAATCCAGAATGAACGGAGGCCGAACTTCGAAGTCGTTAGGTCCGAGTGAGCTGTCGAACGATACCGTTCGTCGGCAAGCCACCAGTTGAGACATGCGAGCATCTACATAACGTTCGGAATGTTCCACAGTACTTAGCACTCCTCTGACCGCAGGCGGATATGTGGCGCGGTGCGGTGCAACGCGCCAAGATCAATGACCATGATGGATTGCGTATCTATCCGAGGAAGCAGCTGCGTGAGATAGATGACATCTTGTCAATTGATAGAAGACCTTGAGCAGAACCTGATCGTTTTCTTACCCGTCCTCACTAAGCTGGTCTCAGTCGTCATTACTGTGCATGTCCACGGTGTACCATCGCCTACGTGCGCGAGATACTCCCCCATACCAAGGATGAGTTATGTACGGCTTGTCTTCATCCGGACCCCTGCAACTTTTGGTTCATTCAACAGTGGCTGGCGGTACGTACACCAGACGTTGGCCGCTTTGCGTTTGCTCAGGAGACCATGTTTATCGTCGCTCCCACCAGCGTCCATCTGTCGTCAAAAAATCCATGGAAGCAAATGCCCGGCAGGCTGTTGTTGCTCTTTGCTCATGCCACGCCAGGGCCGAGGTGAAGGCGAAGCCTACGCCCGTTCGTAGATTATCAAGGCACACGTCACGCTCTCGTGCTACCTAAGTATTCATTAGTTCATTAGATCAGTTGTTCGGGCGGACCGAATGCTCATCGACATACACATCCTACTCATCGTCCTGGAAAGTATTTCGGGCGGTGCATCAAGTAGTTCACGTCTTGATGAACACGAGAGAACACGCGGTGCTTGTTATGCTACTGTACAATGCATGTCATGAATAGTCTGCTGAATTGGATTCTCCTGCCTTGTCTGAGTAAGCTATTCCAAAAACTCCTTGCCTTCGCCTTTGTGTTTCTTCAGTTCGGACTTCCAGGGCTCCCACGTCTGCCCGTACTTCTTGATCAGCCCCTTGAGCTCCTCCCTTTGCTCTTTCTGCAGGACCGGAAATGGGGCGGTCAGACAACAAATCGACCCTCCTCGGGAAGAACAGTGAGAACAAACATGTTACGCACCAAGTTCCAAGGCATCTCCCCACCGTATACCTCGGAAAACATCTCTTCGACAGGGGGCTTGGGCAGCTTATCCGCCCTCTTGTACGCTGCGTTCACTTCGTCCCTGAGCCGCTTCACGAGCGCCGTCTCCTCCTCCTTCGACCACCACCCGCGGCTCTCGAGGAACAACCGGAAGCGCACAATCGGGTTGTCAAGACGCTTGCGGTCCTCCACCTCCTTCCGTGGGCGGTACGCGAACGAGTCGTCAGACGTCGAGTGGTGCCCAACGCTGTGTATCATCCGCAGTATGGTTCCGTGAGTACGTTACCATAGCTAGCGAGGGAGGTGGACGACGCACCGGTACGTCATGGTCTCGACGAGCACTGCACGGCCCTCGTCGATGCACCGCCGCCGCGCCTCCTTGACGGCAGCGAACACCGCGAGCACATCGTTTCCGTCGACGCGGATCGTGTGCACGCCGTACCCAGGGCCACGAGATGCGATGCCGTCGCCATAGAACTGCTCCGTGGACGGTGTGGAGATGGCGAACCCGTTGTTGCGCGCGATGAACAAGGTGGGGGTTGGAATCGTTGAAGCTAGATGCCAAATTGACGAGTTTGAGTTTGAGTATAGAATTGGGCAACAAGGACAAGGCAGTACGGAATAGGCCCACCTAATGCGAGGCCTGCGTGGAAATCGCCCTCGGACGCGGCACCTTCTCCGAAGTAGACGACTGCGCAGTTCTTTCCGCGGCGATTTGGGTCGCGTTTGATCGCGTAGCCCACTCCAGCTGCTTGGGGGATCTGCGTGGCTAATGGGGAGGAAATGGTGTGCCAGTGCAACTTCTTCGATCCGTAGTGCTACGAGAAAGGGGAAGATCTCGTCACTAAACGACCTCTCTTGTAAGAAGATACGCTTACAGCTGGCATCTGCTTTCCCTTCCCGCTTGAGTCGAGGTAGGTACCAAAGCACTGGTTCATGATGTCGTCGAGGGTAAAGCCGCGGAACAGCAGCGCACCGCTTTCACGGTACTGGGCTGTTGTACGGTGTTGTTTTGAGAACTACGATGTGCGGCGGGACGTGACAGTCGCGCTCACCGAGGACCCTAGTCTGATGAGGATAAGTTACCCAGGCAAAGAGGAACAGGAACTCTCACTCATCGTCGGGAGCGAGCGCAGCTCCGGAGCCAATGACGGCTGCTTCTTCTCCAAACTCCGGGGGTAATCAGGACGGGGCAGAAGTCGAAAAAGGGGCGTACTCACAGAGGTAATCTATGCAGACCTTAAGAGACAGTCGGAACTGCGGAAGAACAAGCATGAGACTCACATAGAAGCTGATACGTCCTTGGCGCTGGAGGTTGTACAGCGTTTCGTCCATGATTGGGAGCAGGACCATATGCTCATACCTGCCTCCCGCACTCGTGAGCAAATCGTCTCTACAAGGAAGGCAAACTCAAGTACATCTTGAGGGCCAGAGCCTTGTCAATCTGGATCAGGACCGCAATGAGCTCTCCGTTCCTCTGCAGGTATAGATCGCACGAGAAGGAATGCGCACCTCAGGAACCTCGGCGCCTTCAATGGGCTGACCCGCGCCATCAATGACCCTGTAAGTGGGGATCTTCTTCTCGCCACTCATGACCGAGTTGAAGAAATGGAGCTTAGAGGTAATGGGTGAGGTCGATGTAGGCAATGACCCCAGTGCATGTTGAGGTAGCTGAGGTGTTGTGCCCGCCACTCCCCTGGCGTGAGACACGCGAGACACTCTGGAGACCAGAGCTTGGGAGAGCCTTGGGATGCGCGCCGGACGGAACATGGTGGTGGATGAGATGAAGAAGACGGCGGCTGATGATGGACGCGGCTCGGATGAGCGGGGTAGCAGTTGCGCGGCTGTTTCGCGAGACGCGTTCAGGCCACGTGCCCTGGCTATCGAGACGGGCGCTCGTCTGTTGCATCCACGTCCTCGCCTTCCTGGTCTGTCTCTCTCAGTTCTCCATTACAATATTCCTCGGCTTCCGCTCTCTGCTTGCTCGACATCGTTTGCGGTCCCATTACTGCCCCACGAAGTTTACGTACGCCACACTACATGGACGCACCTTCATCAGACTCGGAACGCGACCTCTTCGCCGACCGCCCCTCGAAGCGCGCACGCCATTCCTCCCCAAAACGGCCCTCTACTGCCGGCTCCCTCGACAGCGGCCAAGACGACACCAAGCCCCACCGCACGCATACACACAACGGGAACGGCACGTCTCAAGGCGCGGATGTAGCCCCAAAGCCCGCACTGCAGCCGAGCATCATTGGCGTCGAGCCCCTGGACGAGTTCATTCGCGAAATCGCCGACTTCATACACTATCAAATCTCCAACCGCCCGCCCGACGGGGGTGGCACCATCGAAGTCGAGGCGAAGATTGGGCTGCTGAAGGACCGTGCGAGCGGCCAGAGGCTGCAGCTGCCCGTGCTGGTCGAGACCAGTGCGTGCATCTTCCAATCTGTGCAGCGGGGGTTTTGATTGACAGTGTAGGCTTACGTTCCGCACGGACGCTCTCGAACTCGCTCGTGAATGCCTCTTGTCCGGTCTGGCGTCGTTTGTCCAGTCCTCACGCCCAACGCGATTGATATGCGGTTCGAGTCGAATATGTCTGCCGTGCGTTTCCTTTCTCTGTTTAGTTCCTTTGCCACTGCGCATGCTCACGCGACTGTCGTTGCGCGCACGCGTGCTGCAGAAACAACACCAGCATTTCAACAAGCTGCTGAACGACCTCAAAATTAAGCAGCAGGCCGACCTCAAGATTGACTACGAGCACCTCCACCTCATTGACAACTTCTACGAGCCGGAAACAGGCCGAGACAAGATTCGCGTTACCCGTAACGAGAAAACGGGCGAGGTCCGCGAGTGCATGCGCAAAGTCCGCCTGGGGGACTTGAACATCTACAGCCCGAAGCGGTTTGTAGATTGGAGAGTTAGCGTGAACGTGGAAATCCCTGGTGCGTCCATCGAGTTTGTGTTGTATGCTGTATACATTTGTGCTGCGCGCCTCCCTCGCGGCGGACGTGCCTTGCGGGCACAGAGTGCAGAGTGTAGGAAGTGTTGGAGTGAACGGAGCCCTCCCTTCCAAGCTATCGTGAACCAGATGTTTCCGACGGGTAGCTGATATCGAGCTGTGGCGCTCGGTGCTGCAGTACCACCACCAATAGGTACCCCAACACATTCGCGGCGAAAAGACCGCCTGAGCTACTCCCATCAAGAGTTCGCGATAGACCTTACCCAGGTCACGGCGAGCGCGGGTCCAAATTCCAAGGTGTGCTCACGTTACGTTTCTTGCACGTTGTGTGCATTCCTGACGAGCGGCGATGGGCAGCCGGAAGTACTGCACGAGCTCGAGGTCGAGCTGAAAAACTCCGAGTACCTGGTCGCGATGGCGGCCAAGCGGGGAGACGCGTCGCTGTCCCTAGAGGAGCAGAACGCGTTCGACGAGCTGATCCACGCGTTTGTGAATAACGCGCGAATTCTGGCTCGGAACGCGGCTCCCGGAGACGGTCGTTAGCGCTATCGAAGCCAGTGCGGTCCTCTTCTGTTGCTGTCGGGTTGTGGTTGTAGTGTGTATCGTTATGTTCTCGCCCTAATGACACTAATTGCGTAGTTCGCGGTGATTGTATTCATAGTTGCTATGCTCGTTACTTTCCGGTGTAACTACTATTCTGAACAGACGCTGCCGTAAGAGCGAGGTGCCGCTAGCCCTTGGATAGGCACGAAGCAACCACCGCATTGACCAGCCCGTGTCCCGAGCGAGCAGAGCCACACTCGTCCGTTCTGTCCACAAACGAGCGCACCCGACGCAAGCTGTCTGATGCGCTCCCGTCGCGACGCCACGCGCGCGGGAGATGACAGGCTGGCCGTGACGTGCCTGCCACTCAGTCTTCCTATCCTCGTGGCCTCCCTCTCCCCTCCAACCCTGCGCGCGACTTCGTTTGCAGGTCGACTTACGGCAAGCGGGCCTGCGCGGCGTACGCGCGGACGAACCCAAACGCCACGGGGACCACATAGCTCCTTACACGAGCTGAGGCGCGCAGTGTTCCGACGCGGCTGCGATAGAGCTCGGCTTCCGCTTCGGATCCGCCTGTGTTTCGTTCACTTGGCACGTTCGCGATTCGAAGGTTAAGTCGAGGCCAGACATCAGGCCCCCTATCTCTGGGAAAGAGAAAGGCGCTAGCGCGAAGTCCGATGTGGCCTTCGCGTTCGACGATCCGAAGGACGCCTGAACGCGAACGCGAACGCGAACAACGGGCTCCTATGCGTCTTCACGAACCCACTAAGACGCCGCATCACGCTCAGCGGCCTAGGCTGAGCCGCGACCTGCGCAGAAGCCCAAGGCCACAGAGTGGTACGGCGACCAACCGACGCCGTCTTCTCGTCTCACTCTTTCGCCGGCCGGCGGCTTCAGTCAGCATCAGGCACTGGCGGACACCCCACTCGCCATCGTGTCTTCTAGTGCGAGCAGTGCAGCTACAGCATCCGCTCGCAACAAATCTAGAGCGACCTTCGCGGGATCGCCAAGACGTCGCTGGTTTCCAGTCCGTCTGCGAATACGAACGGCGACGAGACGAAAGAGGGCGCGCGGGTTGCTCCTTGACGAGAGACCCTGAGCAGCCGTACGTAACGCGCGCCCGCGACTGCGTACGCAAGGGTTCCGGAAAGTCCAGATTGCTGCCCTCCGGTCGTGCTCGGACGCGCGGGAGGCAGAGTCGGAGGTTCTATGCACGCACAGGACGTGTACTGGTCTCTTTGTAGACCCGGGATTTCCCATTGCGCTTTCCGTCCCTCCAGGGCCCGGCGAGGAGGTGTGTTCCGACAGGGAAGACGGAGAGGCACGAGAATTGGCGTAGGGGGTCGCAGGAATGGTGCTGAGGCGTTTGATGCCGAGACGGAGTTATCGAGTCAGCGGGCGATGCGACAGAGAAGAGAGTTGATGGCATTCGGATGTATGTCCCCGGGAGTACGGGTAGGATGCACCCTGCCAATTAGGACTCCTTCTCCTTCGCTTGTCGGGAGCGTGTGGAGGAACCCGGGTATCGAACTTGCCCTGGCCGTGGCCGTAGGACAAGGACGGTGCGGAGTCTTCGGGGCCGTGAGAGGGCGCACAGAGACCCTGAGAGACCAAGCATGCCGATGCAGTCTTGGGAGGAGGAATGCCTGAACTAGGATGAGACGGGAATATGGGGTTTGGGCGGGAATGCCGCATTTGGCCCTTCGGTCATCGGAGGAGGGCGAGTGGAGGCGTACCGGCTCGCTGAATAGCCTGGCAGACGTTGAAGTATTGATGACGCTAGAGCTGATACATACGTACTAAAGGCCCTGGCCATCAACGGCTCGGGTGCCTACCCGCCGGCCGTGATTCATGCTCTGTACTGTAGTCGTGTTTCGACGGATTGCAGTAGCGCGGAGTGAAATATGGTCCTGTTTAGGCGGGCGAGGGACGGAGATAGTCCGTCCGAAGTAGCCGATGGCGCGACGTCATGATGAGACGACTTTGGCCTGCGATTGACACTGGAAGCAACGCCAGATGCAGAGAACGTGAAGCTGTCGTCAGATGACAGAGACGTGAAAGCGGTGGTAGATTAGCAGGAGATAGCACGACCCGCACCGAGTTCGTTGTGCCTACCCAGAACAGACGCGAACACGGTCAGAACCCCGTCGCCCTCTTCGGCGAAGCCTGGTATGTGGTCACGATCTGATCCACCTAAGCTCAGCGCGAAGGAGCCTTGCCTGTGGACATTGGCTGGGCAGCTGGATTCGCCGCTGCCAATGCGGTCTCGAATGGGGGTGAAGCTGTGGTCAAAGCCGTTCACATGTCAGGACTGTGGGCGCGCCGGAGACGATGCCGCGCACTTGACCCAGGCTACGCAGCGTCATGCGCTGGAGGCGTCGATAGCGCGGCTTTGCAATTGAGCCACTGGGCGTGCCATATGCAAGGCAGTAGTGTGCGAGTGGTGGCGCTGCGAGGACGTCCGAAGATCACAATGCAGATTGTCGCGCAGCTGAGCGAAGCGAAGAAGCTGTCGTATGCGCTGAGCGCCTTGTTGTACGCGGTAGCGCGATAGCATGAGAGCTCGAGGTAGTCGAATGTCCTTCTGGGGCGTAATAGCTAGCAGATAGTATTCGAGCGGGGGCCGTGGTGTGCATTGGGTCAAGGTCTGGATATCATACACGGGTCGGACAGACAGCGGAAGCCGTTGTATTGAGGGATCAGCCGCCGAGATTCCTCTGGGACGATAGAGACGTAAGTGGATTGGGGAGGACGCCGAGGAAGCTGAACATAACCATATAGGGGCTGGTGAATTCGGAATTGCGCATAGGAATGACTGGCTGGATCCGGAGTGGACGGACGCGCAGACTATAGAATGCGCAGGTGCGTTCGATTCGATGGCGACTTGTCGCACTAGGATGTGGATGCACAGTGAAGAGAGAGAACGCGAGGGCAGCCTATCGTGGATTGGTGTTGAACTTATGGCTGCGAGAGGGACATGCGGTCGTTGAAGTTTCAGATTGGGTTGTAACGTGCAAGATCGGTCGATGTAGAAGTGCGAAGGAGGTAGGTAAGTCGGGAATGAGACTGTAGCCGTGTCAAGGGAAGCCAGAGAGGGGCGTCGAACGCAAGCATGAGATACGATACGATAACTTTACAGAGAGCAGGCACGGTGGAGTGCTTGCTGGTACGGATGGAAAGGGCTGAGGATGGACGAAGTGCCTGGTGTCAGTCTGGTGTGAAGATGAGGCACCGAGGACGAGGATATGTGGGGGATGAGGAGGAGAGAACAGTGGGAGGGAAGGCTGAGAAGGATGGGCACGAGATGGTGGCGAAGAAGGCGGAGAGTGATGGCCAGATCGCGGTCAAATGCGGGGTGGGCAGGCGGCGCACGAAGAGAGGATGTGAGATGAATGTGTCCGATACGCTGTGAGGACGGCCTCGCGGGGAGGCCAAGCGCGTTCGCTGAGACGGAATCGGTCGCGGAGATCGGACCGCCGGCGGGATGTGGGAGAACATACTATATATGGGCAAGGGGGAGGACGGGAATCTGAGATGGGTGATCGGTGGGAGATCTCGATGGGGCAGGGGGAGGAGGAACGGCTGAAAGCAGCGAGCAGAGTCCCCCGCAGACGGCCTGACATACATATCATCCCTGCAGCCCTCTCACGTCCCTCTCACGTCCCCCGCCCCCGCGGTTTCCCCCAGCAAGGACAGCCCGGCGCCAGGCGGAGGCAGCAAGCGAAGAGGACGAACAGTGGGCAACCGTGGAAGCTGTCAGGAGTGCTTTAGGAAAGCGCGAGTCCCACGAAATGGAAATCGCCCTTGGCCCGACTGGTGAGGACGTGGAGGTGCGATCAGGAGTATACCACCGCCAGCCTCAGGTGAGCTTCCTCCCCCGCCTCTCCGCTCTTCCTGCACCGACCCCGTTTGTCTATTTCCCAGCCAGGTCCGCCTCCTCTCCCTCCCTCCTCCTCCTCCTCCTCCTCCTCCCCCATGCCGTTCCCCATCCGCCTCTCCCACGTCAACAGCATGACCCCCATCCACTCCCTCCCAGTGGAGCTCCTCACCCGCATATTCCAGCTCGGCGTCGACTCCCAGCCCGCTCCTGACGACCGCGATCCTTGCGAGCTCACCTTCGAGGTCACCATCTCCCACGTCTGCCGCCACTGGCGCAATGTCGCCCTCCATACCCCCCATCTATGGACCACCATCCACTTCCGCACAACGCCCCACATGACGCGCGGCAACACCTATCTCGCCCGCAACGCTCGCCTCCCCATCGACATCTACGTCGACACCTGCTCCGAGGACGCCTACGCGCACCGACAGGACCTCCTCTTCCGCGAACAGTTCATACCCGTCTTCAACATCGTCCTCCCGCACATCGACCGCTGGCGCGAGCTCCACCTCAAGGTCGCCGACCTCGAATGCAAGGCCGGCGCGCGCAAGGTCCTCAACACCTGCGGCTCCGCGCCCATCCTCCGCACCCTCCAGCTCTGGCACGTCCAGAACTGGCAGACCCCCGAACGCCTCTTCACCGCGATCGGTCCTCCGCCCGTCGTCGTCTTCGCCGGCCACCTCCCGTCGCTGAAGCACATCATCCTCCAGGGCGTCAACCTACCCTGGGTCAACTCGCCCTTCCTCCGCAACCTGACCTCGATCGAGTACGCGCTCCATTCCGACGACGTCCGCATGCCGTTTCCCCTCTGGCGCACGATGCTCGCCGCGTCGCCTGCGCTCGAGCGCCTCTCGCTGCACTATTCTGGGCCCCGCGCGCGCGCGTCGGGCGCGGTGCCCCCGGACGGGATCGAGTGGTGGGGCGCGGACCCGCCAGGACCGGACGCGGCTCTGGCGCCTGGGCATGTACCTCCGCCGTCGGCGGCCCCGGTACTTCTGCCCTGTTTGCAGGAGATACAGCTCAACGATCTGGAGTCGGACTACTTGATCGCGGTGTTCAAGTCGATCGATGCGCCGAACCTGCGCTCGCTGTATCTCGAGCTGGACACGGAAGACCAGGACTTTTCGCCGTTCGTCGAGTTCCTCGCTTCGAGCCCACGGCGGGGCGCGAGCGAGTCGTCTGCTTCAAATGGAGACGTACCTGCGCTGAACGGGCAGGGCGCGTTGCAGGCAAGACCGAAGTTCGCGCGGCTGGAGAAGCTAAGTGTGAACCGGCTGGTGTGCAGCGCGGAGAGCTGGAAGGCGCTGCTGGAGAGCCTGCGTGCGCTGACCCGGCTCGAGGCCGACTTCCTGTCCATGCACGAGGGCGCGTTCGGCGTTCTCTTCGGCACCGTGCGCTCGGAGCCGCCACAGCTGCAGCCCCCCCACGCCCATGCTTCTCCCTCAGTCGCTGTCGCTGTCGCTGTCACTGGTAACGGCATCGGGAGCGAAGCCGGGGAAGACGCCGCTGCTCCGCTGCCGAGCAAGGATAAGGGCAAAGCCAAGGCCAGCGAGGCCGACCTCGTCCTGGAGGACATCCCGATCCTCCCTGCTCTGCGCGAGATCCGCTGTGCCGGCGTCTCCAGCAAAGAGGTCGCCCGATTAGCGGCACATCGGCGGGCCTGCGGTACACAGTACCGCATCCGACGGTGGGAGGTCGAGGAGGCCATGCGGGACGACGACGGGCTCGCGTTCGAGCGGGAGCTGGAGCGGGTCAGCGCGCAGTGGCTCGAGGAAGAGCACGCGCGGGAGCGAAGAGAGGGGAGGGTGAGGGAGCCGTGGCGGTGGGACGAGCCGGTGGAAAAGGTGGTGTGGTACAAGGAGGAGGGGGACTACGACGAGGAGGATGAGGAAGAGGAGACGGGGGACGAGGACGAGTATGGGGAGGATGATTGACCTCAGTCTGCGGCTCTGGGTCGGAGGGGACATTTCGGCAACTGCGTGCTCAGACTAGCGAGGTGGAGCGACCGCGGCATGCACATGCACGCGTGACAACCCTCCGAGATATGCACGCTTGACATGCCCACCACCGTTAGGGCGCACTATGCGCTCGCTAAGGTGATGCGCTGACAGACTCACCTCCACGCTGGACATATCGATTGTGAAGTCGTGCCGGAGAAGCACGAGTGTACGTCTATCGTGCCGGTGATCTGTCCAACATATCTATCATGCTTGTATCATCATGCTACCAAGGGTTGGTTAGGTACTGCTGCATCTTGTACGATTCCACGTTTCTGCCATCCACTGCGTATCATACATTATCAATGTGTATTTGTTTGATTTATGCATGTCCAGACCGACTAAAGTTGAGAACGGTGGGCATCGAACATTGAATTTAGGAGTTGGGGCGGTACAAGATCTACGCATTAGTATAGTAAAAGTATGTCCATTCGGATCATCACCGCAAGACGTCGTATGAAGTATGCGGCGACGACACTCGCGTCACTCTACTTCGCACCTGTCTTGCCCTCTAGCCGAAGTCGCGCCTGCTCTAGTGCACGGTAGACGTCTGCGGCGAACGTCGAGTCCTCGGGCACGTCCAAAGCCTTCTGCAGCTCAACGACGGCTTCCTTCGTCAACAGTAGCGTCGGAGCCGGGTCCGCGTCGACGCCCTTCTCAGAATGCTCAGAGCCGGACGGGGCATAAGGGGGAGGCGGCTTCTCAGACTCGAACGACTTCGGTGGGCGAGGCGCGTACTTCGCGTAGATGGCATCGAGCTCGGGGCTGGACTGCGTGATGATCGCGCCTCTTTGCAGGAGGCCCTCCAAGTATTCCGAAGCCTTGTATGCTGCACGCAAAGACGTGTGCCTGAGCGTTCACGGAAATGGTAGGGCAGGGACTGGACAGCGCACCTCGATAATGTGACCACGAGCGCCAGATGCAGAAGAAGAATGGGAAGTTGGGTATGATGGCTAGCAGGACGGACATTGAGCTTAGGCGAATGTTCACGGCAGTCTAGAGGACGTACGTATGATCGCGAAGGGTGCCGTTAGCGGCGAGATTGCCAACCACATCCAGAAGCCCTTCCTATGCTTTGGAGTCCGTCTCTCTAGCAGGGAATGCAAGTGTGGGATTGGGGCCGGGGAGACGGACGGTGGGAACACCAGAGGAATCTTGCATGGATGAAAGTCCGGAGCGCGTGGCGTTATGAAAATGCGAAGGGGGGAAGCTGGGTCAACAAATTGGCTTTGAGCTTAGTGGGCAAGATTAGGTAGCCTACCGTGGACGGTCCTTCTGTTTTAGAACTACTCGGGACGATATTCGAGATCTTGGGGCCGAGAGAAGGGTCCAGTGACTTGAGCGCGAGTTCCTCAAAGTCGAGGCGATCAACTAGTCGCTCGCCATAAAGGAACGCTTTCCGCTAGGAGCAACGCAGCACATAGTCAGCATGCATATAAGCTCTAGCGGAGACTCAGCAGACACCGCGACAGATTGACGCGTCCTCGCAGGCACGATTGGCAAGTGAACAGGAAGCTCACCTTCCAGCTACTTTCAGGTGCTTTCCCAAGCCCCGCCCACAAATCCGACGCTTTCGCGACAGCCCATTTGGGCCAGGAAGATGTCTTCGTATCCTCTGGTGGCGTGATAAAGTGGTAGTATGTGAGGTGTTCTACCGGCTTGCCATTGATGGGATTGCGGTGGGGAGTAAGAGGGAGCGCGATTATACGCATTGAACGCGTCGCATTGCGCGCGACGGCGGTGGCTCTCATCTGACCACGCCTTTGACAAGAGCAAGCAGGACGGCGTGAACAGATGTAAGATTCAGGAGAGCCTGAGACGAGCTGCAGGGAGAAGAGAGTGAGGGGACGGCAGAGTGGATGATTCTGCATGACGCGCCATTGCGCCGCGCCGTCACGGGCTCCCTCGCGTGGCCGCCACGTTCTCCAGTGCCAGACTTTGGCCCGGGTAACCCGCGTCCTCGAGTTGACTTCGACCTGCTTCAGCTTGCGGAGGAACTTCGATCGTCTACGGCAGCCACGCAATACCACGGATTGATTGCTCGATGTACGTAAGTACACTCACTTCTATCTGCGTTATTTTTTGCGGTCATGATGTCCTTCTATACTGAACGCAGACCGGCTACACGCCGCGACGCAACTCTAGCTTGTTGCCTCCGACTTTGCTTCGCTCGATGCTTTTTGATCATCTGTAAATGAGACACCATTCAACGGCGATGTCGTGACCCCGATCGGCCACGCGAAAATACGAAGTGGCTCAACTATCTTCACTCCCCTTGGTGCGTACGTCACATTCGACCGTCTCATCCAGACTTCACGCTCATGAATATGATTCACTAGATGCATCTGTCTCGGTCTATACGTAAAGGTTCCCGTGCTCGACCATCACATTGGACAATATCCGACCGGACTGGGAGTCTATGCTCTCTGTAATGACTCTACTAGCCGCGTATCTGCCTCGAGACATTGGTACACACTCTCAAGCTTCCCTAACCATGAGATTTCGACCACCTGCAAACCACGATCAAAAGATCTCTTATAATACTTGGAGGCCACTTTCAGGTGCTTAGGGTCTCCTTGGTCTTGCCCTTCCAGCCACCGCCCAGCTCAAGAGCGTAAGTATAATATCGGATACACTCTGAACGTACTCCATCTGATTTGCTAGGAATGGAACAGAATCCAGTCTTCTACACCGCTGTAGACCAGGGTGCCGTCTCTGAGGGTGTCTTTGACTTCAAGCTCGCCTCCTCGGGATCGGAAGTCTACATTGGCGGTACGGACTCGCGCCTCTCAACCGGCTCGATTGAGTACTCCGAGCTCGTCAACGACCAGTTGTGGCAAGTCGGTGGCGCAACCCTTACCCTCAATGGCGACAAGGTCCCACCCAGGTTCGAGACCATCATAGACTCCGGCACGACGCTCATGGGCGCCGAGACTGAGACTGTGGACTAGTTCTATGCGCGGATCCCGGGTTCGGGCTTAACGAGAAGTATGGCTACTACACGCTCCCTTGCGACTCTGTTTCGCAGCTTGAAATCAACTGGGGAGGCAAGACTTGGCCTGACGACACCGATAAGTGAGTATCCATGCATTGTGAGACCAAGAACCATGAAACCATGAATTTGACGTTGATCTCTCTTAGCTTCAACCTCCGCAAATAAGCAACGGCAACTGCGCTGGTGCCCTAGTCGCTATTGGATGCAACAGCAACAACGCTTTCCTCCTCGGTGACACGTAACCGCCTCAGATGGCAATATGTCTGCCTTTGCATCGCTGATGCTTACCCTCCACCACTGTCATGAAGGGTGTGTACATCACGTTCTCGGTCGACGCTGGCAAGAATTCGGTCGGCTTCGCTGAGCTCGCCTAAACATATGATGAATTGAGGCTGGCTAAGTGTACTAGGTAGTTGTACTTGTACTTGTAGCTGGTGTACTAGCCTAGGTGTTCTTATACGCCGAGTTGTTCGCATTAGTCGCCGACGTATTGAGGTGTTCCTATATGCCAAGGGAGCCAGTTGTATAAAGGCAGTGGCTGATTTGTGCGGCTAGGGGTGTGCTTGATCACTTCGGAGCATGTAAGTAAGTAGCGGTGCCTTACTGAACGTACTTAAGGGCTCGTGAGCGCTGAGCGAGACTCCCTACCCACGCCGTCCAAACTCGACGCTTGCCATATATAACTAGTTAGACGCCGATACCTCCGGTTAGGCGGAACCATCATGTCCATCTCGGAGCGCACGCACATTCGTTGGGTAAGAGATTTGACTACATAGGATGCAGATCTGCACTTGTCTTAGTCGATCATAGTTTCCAGATGAGGCGTCGGAGCCGACCTCAACGCTTGTCCTCACGGCGCACAACAGGCAATTTGTAGATTTGCGCCTCGTCAAGCCTGATGACCCTTTGGCGCCGTTCACTTCCCTCGATTGGGGTATCGGGGGCAGGTCCGTAGGAATCTTGTCACACGGAGAGTGGATCCACGATATTGATTCTCGCACGGAGAACCCGGACGAGAAGGACGAGGGAGACATGTACCCACATTCCGAGTTGCCCAACGTGACTCTTGAGCGAGGAAAAATGCGACATCCAGAAAGCGGGGAGATCAGAGAGTACGAAGAGGGCTGGAAAGACCTCGATATACTTCCGGTTGGAGGGCCAGAAACCGGGAGACGGACCAGCGTCGTACTCGAAACCGCCTTTGATCCGTCCGACAAGTCGGCAGTGGCTGGGACTCGGAGGGGCCTGATCGTGAGGGTCGGACAGTTCTGTCAGGCAATCCTTCGCGATGGACCGTCTCTCGTGGTCGAGAGATGGCTGTGGACCGCTGATGAAGGGTGGAAGATGCTCGCTCGTATAGGGGAAGGGGCTCATCTGCCTTGCGATCTTACGTGGAGCGAGGCACTGGCATCAGGGGATCATGGTAGCAAGGAAGGCATTCCTTGGGTAATCAAGGAAGTGCGCATGTGGTGACTGTAGCGCAGGTGAGCATGAGTCCTCTATCAATTCTTCCGCTGTTGCTGTCTGCTGCTCACGTCACTTATCGAAGCATTTGTTTTCTATGGTTATACAGTGACGGAAGATAACGATTCCTGTCAATCACACCTATGAATCTTCGTCTCGTGCGGCCCTTTCGTGCTCCGCTTTTTCCCGCAATCAGACAGATGGAAGCGACGCACTGCTGTAAGTCGAAAGCCAGCCACTCAACCATGGCCTCCCCCCAGAAGTGCAGAGTTATAGTGGCTGGCTCGCAATGCTGCTTGACGGCAAGTTCTGAATAGGAGATGGCGAAGAGAACGACGCGCACCAACACGACGAGATCGACTCCGCTCTAGGACCGGGGCACGCACATACCCAGAAGGAGATCAAGCACTAGCAGGAGGGATGGTGGTCCTCCAGCCGGCGGACGGCCCAGGAGAAGCTCGATCTCTTACGCAGGGATCTGGATGATCAGACAGAATGGCAAAAGTTCAAGGACAGGAAAATCGATGAATGGGCGAGAGGTCTGCTTCCGCACGAGCCACATCGGGCGAACATGAGCTCCATCCTTTCCAGGATATGAGCAATATCTCGTCGTTTCCGGATGTGTCGTGAGTGTCCCTTTCTTCTTTCATCATCTTTCGATCCGCTCTCCTTTTGGGCACCCTAAGGGGCTCGACGCCGCTGGCGTTTGGCTGGGGTGTCTTCGGTCACCTTCGCCCGTTACTGACACTCTAACAGACGCTACTCGACGTCTATCACTAAGTACCGCGTGGAAGGGGAGGCTTGACACCTCCCTGGCCCGATATTACAGAGGTTTGCCAAGCTCGTTGGAGTCTCTACGTAAGTCTGTCTGAACGCGTGGTGTACCCCCGGTGTAGTAGTGTCGGCATGCGCCGCAGTACGGACGTGTAGGACCGTGTTCTACTGCGCCCCTTCTGCGCATCCGCTGCGCAATGATCACGCATATACTGGACTCAAACGGTCGTTTCCGTTGTAGATGTTCACGAGATGCACGTGGCTTCTAGAGAGCGTACAAATGTGTCGCGGATCATGTCCAGTTGCTTCACGCACACTTTCTTGTAACAGAGACTTCTACTGCGCGATCCTTTAGGTGAGTATCTCCAGTAGCCCTATACTGTATTCCCACGTTACTGAAGCTGATTCAGGTGCACAACAATATCCGCACCTTCTGCGATCACCATGGCCACACAGAACAAGATTGAGTACACGGAGGACGTCAAAGCCGACCCCTTCACCCTGCCAGAGTACACAGTCCCTCAGCCGGACAGCGCTCCGTCTCCAGCACACTCCACTGTCGCCTCCCCACACGAGGAGAGATATCAGGAGACTGCTGACGACGAGTCTTCTGATCCCGAAGAGCGCAGCTCGGAAACCCTCCAGTCCGATGGTGGCAAAGCGCTGAAGATGCTGGGGACGGGCGTTGTTGCGATCGTCCTCCCACCGGTGCTCATCGCCGGAGCAGCGGTCGCGTCGGTCGGCGTAATGATCTACGGCTGCGGGAAGCTTCTCGAGGGTATTGGGAAGGGGCTCGCTGTGGGGCCCGAGACAGCATACAAGGCGGGCGTGAAGCCGCAGGTGAAGAGGCTTAAGCGGGGTTTCGGGGTTGACGATTCGAAGAAGGACGCTCGGGGACCGATATCCATCTGAAGAAATGGATGTTGAATACTTACCGGTGAGTTCGGACTTGTGTGACCGAAGATCAAATCTGGATTGACGAAGATTCGGGTCACGCTAGCAGGCGCACGAGAATGCGCGTTATCCTGGCTGAATTGTAGTATCACGGTTCTGTATGAAAGGAGGACGTCTACGACTGCATGTAACTGGCTACGTAGCATGCTGCGTATACATGTATTCGATTGACGGTGAAGCTCCCCAAACTCTGCACGTGGGCAGCTACGAAGTTGTATAACTGCGCGTCGGCAACGGCACACTGTAGCTGAAGCGCCCTTCTGCAGGATTCGGCGGAGCTTGTAAGGGGGAAATGACCTATCTTGAGGATGTCGAGTGCTAGGAAGTAGTATCCTGTCATACTTCTGTTTCGTAATGGAATCCTCGGACTTTCCTTTGCTCGCTCTATCGACGTGGACGAAGAGATGCAAGACCCATCTTGGGCCGCAGTCGCTTCTGGGCCCGAGAAGCAACTTGGACGCCTAATTATCCTCGCACAGCACCCGTCACTCAACGCACGCACCCTACAGTCGATACTGCCCGCGCGATCGAGTGCGTACTTTCAAACTTTCATAGGAAGAGGGACCGCATCAGTCGAGCGCTTCGGAGTACGAAGACACGGCGACATTCGACCGCATGCGTGCGAACACCTGCATACGATGGGCAGTGCAAGAGATCGATCAAATCCGCAGCCGGAGTCGACTGCGCACGCCGCCCGAAATCGATTTGTCAGGCAAACATCGTTCGGCAGTTTTGAAGAGGTCAGGTGACAGACAAGGTAATCAAAGGATCACCACAAGTACGATAGGTATGCCTGAGGTCTATGCCTTGTTCTCGTCTGGAATCGGCGGCCTACGCATAGGCCATTGACCTGTTTTTCAGGCGTATAACTTGGCGTATGACGCGACGCAATCAGGCAGTCGGTTTGACATTCTCGGCTGACCACTAGCACTAGATCCGCAGTCTATCGAGGCGATGCAAGAACCGCGATGACGAGCTCATACAAATGACAGAGCGCAGACATAGTTTGGCGCATTCTACCCCTGCGAAAGCGTGCTGTCCTTGTGAGTGTCCTCGGAGGTATTCTGCACCTCTGACAACCTGGAGCACGTGTTGAACTCCGTTTGAAACAGGAAGGTCAGACCGTACCCCCTCGTATTATTCCACCGAGCCGGACACCCCACCATGGCGAGCACCCAGACGCAGACTTGGCAGCCCGACGTGAAGAGCCATGAGGGCCCTATCGACCCCGCGGTCCTCCCTGAATACACGCTGCTCCCCGCAAGCCCGCCTCGGTCCGTGGTGTCGTACAACGATCCCGATGGCGCCAGCGAGGCAGGCTCGTCCGCCTCCAACCACAATGCGGATGCGACCACGTGCGGCATTGAGTCCTTGAAAATTATCAAGATGTTATATACGGGCATACTCGCGATCGTGTTTCCCCCAATGATCATCGGCGGTGCAGCGCTCGCGGCAGCGGGCGTGATGCTCTACGGCTGTGGGAGGGTGCTCGAGGGCATCGGGCGGGGGCTCTCGATCGGACCCGAGGTCGTATTCAGGACGTTCATGAGGAAGAGGGTGAAGATGCTGAGAGGTGCCCTTAGGGAGGGCAGACGGGTGCCGGAGCAGGAGCAGGGGCAGGTGGTCGAGGGTCAGGTGGCGCTGGAGGATGTCGAGGCTGGTCAAATTGGCGGACCGATTGCTATTTGAGTCTCGCTGCCCGCTCGCTATGTGAACGATGCAGTGAGCGCATTCGATAGCAGTTGCCTAACGGAGGTGGGTCGGTCCCTTGCAGAGTTGCAGGTACGCGAGCACAAGACTGATTGTGACTTACTTGTGCTCGAGGCAAAGTCCTCAATGACCTATGGACGTCGATAACCCAATTGTACATGGAGAGATGGCTTACAGGCATGAGCGAGAGACATACATGCCCGAGCAAGTCGCATAGGACCTGACCGACAAGGTGGATGTGAGATGTTGAAAGTGATGGATAGCGGATATGAATGTACGAGGCGAAGGCATCAGGCTGTAAGTTATACGTACAACGTCGAGTCAAGCACAGGTAATGGTTGAGCAGTTGTAGCCAAAAGGGCGACATCAGTGGCAGGGCGGAGAAGATGTCGAACAAGGCCCTGTCAGGGACGCTAGCGCTCACAGATCTCTGTGCAACATATCAGATGCACAGTCAGCCTCGCTCTCGATCCCCTGCTCGACATACCTTCTTCCATATTCGGGTGCCTGCTGGGGACTTTTCGGTGCGATGCAAGATCGCGTCACGGTGTGTGAAACATTGATATGATTTGCCTCTTCACACTCGTCCGAGATTGAGGAAGCGCTCGATCTAGAGTTCAGCGGACAGGTTTGCTCCAGACTGTCGGAAAGTTCATGTGAAGGGTTAGATGACGCCGAGGAAGATTCTGAGCGCCAGATCCCATGTTATTCGCGCTTACCTTGAACATATCAGTGGAGGCCAGAGCTCGCCGCGCTACACTTACTACCGCCACCATGATACATCCGCGGAGATCGTCCGTATTCTTATCCACATAATGAACCGCGCCAAGCATTGTATATCAAGCAATGAATGCTGCACCGAGACGAAGTGGCCTTGTTGCTGCAAACCCTACCTGCTCGTCCTGCGCCGCCAGTGCGGCAACACTACCAGCACGGGCACGGATCTGGTGACTTTGCTGTCAATCCTTGCCGATTACCTCGTACTGACCCCAAATCCTAGGAATGCATAGACAGCGCCCTCGCGCACGGCTGCAATCATGTTAGCAGGTATGCGTAGCGACGAACCCTGCACGAACCGGCCATAGAACCCTTCTGACATCTCCAGCTCCATTCCGCCTGCCACCGCTGCCATATACATCGAAAGAAGTGATGCACGCTCTTCGTGGTGGTCACGCTCTCAGAGTGCCTGTTGCCGCGTCCGCCGAGAGTGTCCGGCATTGGACTATGCCGCACCAGCCCGTGGATGTGCGAGCTTGTCATGCCAGCTAGACGTGTTGACATGGCGAGCGAGGGGCTGGGAGGATTGCAAGGCCCTCCAAAAGATTCTTGGCAGAGGATTCGTGGGTACCACTTGCTCGCACGATCGATTGCGGTGATGCGGGGGCTGTTGGCTCGAGCCAAGGTTGTCGATGCTCTCCTCTATCCAATTTGGTATGCATCGAGGCATTGCCAGACGATCTATGCTGACAAGCACCCAGCAGCACCTTGCATCGAGGTATTTCGCATGCCCACATGATGCCACGACGCGGGTGCCGGTTACCTCATGCGTCCCTCTGCGGCCGATATATGCGGCGCGAGCTTGGGATAAGCTCAAGCTTAGACTGCCGGTGCCTTCTCGTTCGACGGCAAGGTCGCAATCAAGCCAAGCAGCACTGATGATCCCAAACCTACGAGGACATGGCACTGGGAAGAGTTAGTAAAAGGCAGAGCTGTAAGAGGAAACATGCCACTTGCGTGAGGTTACAGCGTAGGAGTGGAAGGTAGTATAAGAAGCTTCCATTGCCCAAGTCTGATTCGAACCCTTGTGTCGTGAGCTTTAAGAGCAGTATAAGCTGATAGAGTAAGCTACCGAAGGTAGAAGTATGGAAGTTGACCTGGAAGACCGAGATCACCCGGCCGCGACCCAGGTCGCACTCACAGAGCATATGAACGCCGCTAGAGCTCTTCGATGCACAAAGACGGCAGTCATAGATCATATGAACCTGGGAGAGTAGGCTCGGGAGCGCCCATGTAGACGGTCTTCTGACATCCCTGGCACATGTCCATAGTCCGAATAGGGGGCACGGGGCCCAAAGAGGCCACACATTGTTGAACAAGGACAGGGCGCACAAGACCTGAGTAAACTGTGGAATATGACGTCTATGGAGGTGCATCTGCGTGTTGGTGAGCCTGCCAGAACCTCAGGCAGGTAGGTGAAAGCTGCAAAGAGACATTGCCATGCTCGTTGTGCAACGTGTCGTCATTGATATTGACTCCTCGGAGCATCTGGAGCTGTCAGTCCTAGTATGAACATCACAATGGCTGATGAATGCATATCTACGCGCTTACATACGATGTGCGAAGGTATGGCGACTTTGGACAGTACAGTCAAGTTTGTCGTGTTTCATCGTTCTGGCTTGCAAGGCCGCTCGAGCTGGCCGCTGGTGATTGAAACGCTAGTCCACGTGACACATCTCGTGTCGCCGAATCCGGAGGTGCCAGGACTTGTGCTACGGTATCATTGTGGTTGCCATCATGATATTATACAGTCTCGTACCAGCTTGTATCCTGACTATCTACAAACAACGCACACCTCGCTCGCAGGCGAGTGGGATCGGTACGAATTGCGTGCTGCTAGCAGCGAATAATCTGAACGAATATGCCATCTCTAGAGCGAGGGGCGTGACGCCCTCCCTTCTTGGTCGGCCGTATTGTTCAGCCTGAATTCTGTACAAATATTAATTCTGGGCCGATGGCCGTCTTTATTTTCCGAGCATCTCCCTCGCTACGAGCACTCTCTCCTCTGCGCCAGACCGCTCTTACTGGAGTGCAATAGTTGAGTTCGTATGTCGCCTGATGCTTATCATGATGCTGATGTCTCCCTACAGCATGTCCATGGCGCCGGTTGCCCTTGTCGGCTTTACCTGGCAAGTCCTACTCTAGTCCCCTTCTGCTGCGCTTGTGCTAATCTAAAATGCGTCCTATGCAGCTTCGCTACGGTTGAAATATTGAGTGCGGTCTCTAACCTGGGTTCTGGAATTCTCAGCGACATCGCGCTCTCGGATACGGCTTATAGTGTCTCTGCGGCTGCTTCGACGTCACAGGCCTCGTGTCCGGTGGCATATGCAACTCTAAGTTCTGGTCTCACGGTCTGTCTGACATGGTGGACAGACTCCCTAAACGCAGCGCTTCTCCCGTAGTGCTCGGCCCTCGCCTGACGCTTTTCTTTGGCACCCTCCGCTGGACCTTATACCTCGGTTCTCTTTGGTGGTACGTCTCATCGCTTTCACGGCATTCTCTATGTGGTCCTTCGCTGCTTTTCCATCCTCTACGGAACGCTTGGGACATGCTGTGGTGACGCAAGGGCGCCTGTCTGACGGCGCTGCTCAATTACGATCTGTTCGCAACCGCATGCAATGCCGCGGCTATCGTTATCAGCTAGCGGCTGTGATGTTGGCAAGTCAGCACGGGAAGGGCATGACATTTATATCCTTTGCATCCACAGGCGCAGCCAGGAGTGTGCGTCAAAGCTTGCTTCACTTTTGCATGTCCCGAGCTTGCCGAACCCAGCTTCTTGCTGTCAGCTACCAGAGTCAGGGTGCGGGATGGTGTCCCATCATTGCGGGAGCATCTCTCGGAATCTCTACCGGGCTCCTGTGGTCTGCGCAGGGTGCCATCATGATGACCTGCCCTCTCGAAAAGGACACAGGCAAGGCGTTCGGCATTTTCTGGACCCTCTGTTCGGCTCTTACATCGTTCTTGCAGTCGACATCCGTGAGGACGGTCTGTCAGCAGTCTCTACTTCCACACGCATCGTGAGTGACCCTTCTCATTTACGTGCCTAATCATGGTCTTTGTGCCATTCCCGGCGAATCTTTGACAACGCGGGAAGGCAAATACCGACCACAGGCGTTTCTGATGATCATATTCATCTGAGTAACACTTCGCGTCGTGGATTTCGATGCTCGTCTCGTTCCTGCTCGTGTACCTCGTCCTCCGCACCTTCAAGGAGACCGACGACGAAGATGAGCAGACGGTGTAGGTGGACGACATATGTGGGCATGACGCCATCGAGCAGGGCGCGCCCGCTGCCACCAAATCGAGCGAAATCGAGACAGAGAAGAGCCACGGGCTGCTCCTTGAGCCGCCTGCACTTTTCCTAGGTTGATGGTGCGGTGACAGTGAGCGACGGCGATAGGGACTCTTCTGTAATGAGATTGGATGGGACGTGGACGCGGTTGCAATTGGTGTACTGATGATGACGACAACTATTGTGACTTCGCGCTATACACGCTGCGATCATGTACCATGAGCCTCAGGGTGATCCCGTTGACTCATCCGAGGTATTTCACAACCCTGCCTTCCCTTTGTTTGTGATTGCGTGTCTCTCAATGGCCTTCTGCATATTCGTTCGGGCATATTTCGTGATCGGACAACCGTAGCACTGGAAACAAGTACCGCAGATTCATCGGACCTAGACTTTCATATGCGTCCTTGCTGTGATCGTAAAGTCGTCGATCACGCGTTCATCTGAAGCTCGCATTGCGTTAGAATGACGCCTGCGACAGACACGGCAGGCATTCCCGCTTTCTGGACGGCAGAAAAGTCGATGAAGAGGGGAGGCAAGAGGTAAACTATTCGCAGACACGTGGCATTTTGGAACAACAGTCTTCGGAAATGTTCTGAAAAGCCATGATTTCATCAATAGTTTGCCTCGTGCCTCCCTTGTTCAGCAAATTTTCATCAGTTGAGAAAGCCGGAATGCCTGCCGTGAGACTAACTATACAGACACCAGTCCAAGGGAACTCAGGGAGCCACAACCTGAAGGTGACTGACTGCACTGGAAACAGCGTCGATCATGGCCGACAGTCGCCCTCGAGAGGTCTAATATATCCCCAGCAGTCGTGTCGTGAACAGGCAGGGATATATGCTCCGAGTGGTCCACCTATACCCAAGAACTGCTGCGCTATATTCCTCAAGGACACAACTCGGATCCATAAGCGGCTAGAAGGCTGACGTAGAGCACTCAGACGTTTTGCGACGAGGGCATTCTTGGGCTCTTCCAGAATTCCATGCCGGCGTTATCGGCCTTTTCTGGGGTTTTGCCCTACGTGGGCAAGTACACGTCGCTGTGAATACGTGGACCTGAGAACTTTGATACGATTCCTCAGCCATAAACCTGCAGTGAGGAACATAGCCGGCGCCGCATTCAAGCCGATCGAACGGCTGTTTCGGTGGAGCCTCAGACAAGGTATACGGACAGTCCTTGTTGGAGGAATTCTACGAATCAGGTTGATGCTGATCCTCGTTTCCGCGTTCTCATAAGCCCAGTAGTTTGGATATGTACAGCGCGCGCAGGCGTGCTTCTATCGAGCTAGTCTGTAGAGGGAGGGTCATTATGAGTCCTGAGACGAATCAAATGTCCATAGATCCCATGGCGTACCGGCTGAACCCAAACCTGTGAGAGCTGTGACCAAATCTACCCGTCCTCAACTCACTCTTCACGGCAGTGCGCGTCATGAACCATGCATGATGTCGCAAGTTGCGAATGCCTCTCTACGGCCACGGGCATGTCCGCGGAGATTGGCCTCATTGCTAAGCATTATTTCGGAACGCGCCAAGCATTCAGCCTTCTTCAACGACACGAACGAATACATTTCAGGAGGCTTGCAGTGCGCGAGTGCAGCAATGATACCAGCATGAGCGGGCGTTGAATGAGCATAGCGCACTTCGTCGCTGAGCGCTGAATGCTGAGCATTGAGCACTTGACCTCAACGGCCGGTGAACGCACATACGGCGCGCCTTAGCGCAGGGCTGCTTTCATGTCGGTAGGCATGCGTGGCAACAGAAAGGATCACACGAACGGACCGTGGAACACGTTAGGCGTCCATTCTCCGTTCCTTCTGCTATCGCTGCCATATACATACATCCCAAGAAGCGATGCACGTTCTTGGTGCTCGCCAGGCTCTGGACTGCATGCCCGCCTCCGTGGAGTCCGGCATTTGGAAGTGCGCGGTACCAGCCGACGCACATGCGAGCCAAGTATACCAGGCTGATGCGCGTCGGCGTACCGAGCGGAGAGCTAGAGCGGCCACAGTGCGGCCCGGAGGTTCTAAGAAGGGCATTCGTGGGCACCAGCTCTTCGCGCGATCGGCCGCAGCGGCGCGGACTCCCTCGGCCCAAGCTTGCAAAGAACGTCGATGATGGCTCGCGTCCGATCTGGCATCCACACATTGCCTGTTTGATCGATCCTACGTCGCGGCGTCATGCATGTCCATATGGCCCCGGGGCGCGGATGCTGTACGCTCCGCACATTGAGCAGCGCGATATGCTTTCTTGGACCGAGTCGAGGGTTTACCAGCGTCGGCGGCGTGAGCTTGGGATAAGCTCAAGTTTAGACTGCCGGTATCATCCCGCCTGGCAGCAAGGTCGCATGACCGCCGGACGACACCGATCATCCAAAAGCTACGAGGAGATGGCGCGCGCGCGCTTCCAGAAACGATTCAGCCACTGTCGCGAGACTGCCCGCGTCACTGCCCACGCCACAAGGCGGCTTCCACTTCGCCAGTCTGATTTGGTCGTTTGCAGCCTAATCTAAACGCCGCAGGTCCGCTGCCAGACAAAGCAGAGACATTCCGCGTGCGATGAGAGAGAACACGAGAGCAGCGAACGTGCCCGGCGCCAGGCACTAAGGGCAGCAGTGTGACATCGAAGGAGGAAGACAACGAGCACCAGGCCGCGCTCCAGTTCGTACCTGCCAAACACATGAACGCCGATAGAGCTCTTCGATGTGCCAAGAAGGACGTCCGGGAGCGTGGGCGTGGGACCTCCTAGCCAGACAATCGTCCGACATCCTCGACGAATGCCAACGATGCAACTGGAGGGCGTCGCATATAGCGAGGTGACGCATTGATGAGCGAGTACAGGGCGTACCGAGATGGACACAAGCTGGGAGCTCTAGAATTCCGGAGCGGTATATGGCCTGAGAGAGAGAGGTCCAAGGCGGTGGCTGTCATAGCTGTCGCGCTGCCGGCCACCGTCACGAGTCATATGGAAAGACGAGGGCCCCGGGGCGCGTTGCAGCGAACCGGTCGACGTGGTCGCGTTCAAACGTTCAAGTCGGCCCAAGCGCGGTAGACAGAGGAGACGCTCCCCCACGTGCCACAGATTGCATGCCCGATACATTGCAGAACTCAGAGGAGCACCCACGACGGCGGGAACACAGGCCGATCTACGCCACAACGGACTGCTGAAAGGGGATAGAACTCGACATATTATCCGAAATGAAAGCATGATATGCTTCAGATCCAAGGAGTCTGAACGAATCTGCTGGCATCCTGAGAGAAAGCAGTCAATTGGCTGGCCGGCTGCGGAAAGATGATTGAATACAAGCCACAGTACATACAATGAACCACGCACTAGGGCCGTCTTCAGGAAGCATAGCCAGCTGTACCAGGATTCATGAGCCTCATTTGACGCAGACGGCAGCTATGCCAATGGGACCAATGTTGCCTAGGAGTAGAGATGCAATGCATGACAAATCTCTTCGACTGCGGTCGCAAGTAGAGTCAGTAAGTCCCATTCGCGATGGTGGGCGCAAAGCACTTACTGGAGCGTTCACATGGCCGGGGGAAGCTGCTTGAAGGATATGGGTCCTAGCGGGAGCTGCGGGACGAACGAAGTACTCACGAACTTACGAACGATGACTGGTCAAAGTTCCTCGGCTGCGCGACCGAGGGGCGTGTCCGATGCCGAAGAGACCTACTGGTCATGTAGACAACAGCAGCGACATTCGCTGTGAACACGTCCACCTTGACGCCATCCACCATAGGCGGCGGGCATCGACGAGTTGCTGCGCCAGGCTCTTAACCAATGCAGTGTCGGTGATGCCAGTGTCAGAGGCAACGGCGCTGAACTCGACCGGACAGCACACAAGTGGGTGTTTTGGAGCTCTTCTGCCCCGGCACTGGCGTTGTCTGAACTCCTGCCTCGGATTGAAGATGCAATCGCAGGTGAGGCGTGGGCTGACCCATAGGATGGTGTAGCTGAAAACCGTAGACGAGCAGCCGAGCAGTGTTCCGGCGCATTGAGCGGCTGATTTTCGGGCCAGTGATGAGCATCAATCACCGGACATCTTGTACGAACAGGCGGAATCGTCGATGAGATCGACGAAGGAGAATCTGAGGCGGCGGCTGAGGTCAAGAAGCTGAGAAGCTGCTCGACACACTCATATCACCGTAGAGCTCAGCACTCGAGGCGTATTTCGCGAGCGGGTGTGCTGGTGGCCGACTCGGAGGTTAGCCTCACGCGTGGTTGACTGAGTGTTCGCGTTTGAGAGGCGTCGGTGGCGGATTCCGCTTAGATCGTAGATTATCTGAAGCCAACTCCAAGCTGGCGTCGGCTCCGGCGCCTCAGGGTCGTCAACTGCGCACATAGACGCGTCTCCTTCTCCTCGACGCACGCACGTCTCCTGCTGCGAGCCCTTTGTGTACCTCGCAACCTCCACCTCAATCCGGACTCCGGCGACCTACGCTGCGACCATAGAGCTTGAATAGCCGAGAATCGAGATGCTGGTGCCCACGACTGTCGCTGCCAGTGCCAATGCCACGCGGACAGCGCGCGTCCCACACTTCGTGTTCATCGCACGGGCCCACCGCGACGCTCCCCATCGGGACTCTCTTGTGGACGCGTGGCGGCGGGCGATAGGAGAGTACTTTCCAGCTGACGGAGCCGAAGGGCATCTTGGGCCTGGAGAAGCGTACTTTACGGTACGCGAAGGGACGCTGGAGGAGCTCGACCCGGCGGACGTGCGCAACGACTGCATCGTGTCCCCCGCGAACTCGTTCGGGATCATGGACGGCGGGTGAGTGCCCGTATGCGGTGCTTATGTTTCAGTAATCATGCGGGTTTGTTCTGTTGCGCGTTCCGCTCCCCTATGACTCTCGCGTAATGCGGACGTCTGATACGTGTGGTCTCTCAACGTCTTCGCCCGCGGACATTGCGTATTAAATCAGAGTTTCGGTTCACCTGACGACGGCACGCTCATTCCAGGCCATTACTCGTGCCCTTGCCCCCGCACGTTCGGAGTTGTTCACATATGTGTGGGCGATGGGAATGATGGACATCGCGTCGCGCGTTTACCCACCACGCCCCTGATGACGAGACAGTCTGCGTCCCCCAATCGTGCATGCTTCTGGATGTCACCCACGCGATGTGCTTCTCTGCATTCCACCACATGTGCGCGCCGCCGGTTGGTTGCTACTGCTATCGTGTGCCTATCGTGCGTATAGGTCGCTAACGTTACTGCGCAGATTCGACCTTGTTCTCTCGCGCGCGTTCCAAGGAAGGTCCGCGGACGTCTATGCCCTGACGGACCACGTCCAGGCGACGCTTGGGACGCGGTGGGGCGGATTTGCACCGGCAGGGACGTGCACGCTCGTGCCGCTTCCGGCGGGAGTATCCGGACGTGAGGGGAACAAGTGGGGGACGCATACGCTGGCCGTTCTGCCCACGATGAAGGAACCAGAGTGGGTAGGGTGGAATCGGGAGCTGGTGTACAACGGCATGTGGTCGCTGCTGTGCGAGATCGGGCGGTGGAATGAGGAAGCTGAGGGCGCGGGTCGCGATCCCGGCGGGAGTCGGTGCCTGGAGGCGAAGAGGGAGGGTGAGAAGAACGGGCAGGAACGCATCGAGCGGGTGGTCATGACGGGGCTGGGGACGGGGACAGGAGGGGTCAGCGCGGCACGGTGCGGGCGGCAGATGGTGCTGGCAGTGAAGCACTATCTGCAAGGGCTGCCAGAGAAGGTGCGATGGGACAGCGCAGAAGAGAAGAGGCGGATGCAAGACCTGAACGCGACCATCGACGTCTGAGATCTGCACTGCACCACCCGCGAGCGCAGGACTTGAGATGGCGTGCAGAGCGCAGCGGGGTACGTCTCTGGTCCAGTCCGAGTCCGCGGCTGCTCATTCCGCGGTTAGGATCCAGATCCTTGTGCGTGCCATGCTGGCACCCAATCGGGATGCGGTCGCGGTTAGAGAGGGCGGCCGGGATATGGGCGTTGGGCGAGCGCCGGCAGCGGAGGACATGCTGGGAGCCACAGGTGGAGGGAAATGAAGTAGATCGGGAAGAACGCTTGGCAAGCCGTGACGGAAGGCTGCCATGACAGCTCTGGACTTTAGACGACGACGATCTAGGGCTCAATCGAAGTCTGCCCTTCCGTCACGCCGCGTCCCCAAACATCACATCAGCAGCCTTATTCCCCCCGACGGGCCCAAATGGCGACCCCAGCCTGGAGGGGGCCAGGTCTCCCGGCCCACACACCACGCCTCCCTCAGCGACTACATAGCTCGCCGATTCGATCCAACATTTCGGCACCTTGCGATGTGGCACCAAGTCGCGGATCCCTACGCTCTCTGCCCGTCCGTGTTCCCGACACTCAGCCCGCGGGGCAGATTCCCGTTCCCGCGGACCGACGCGCTCTCCTCGGCTCCCTCTTGTCAGCATACCGCGTCCGCCCGCCTTCGGCCAGTGACGTGCGCGTCCAAGAGAGCCAGGCGTGGGACGGCACACCGAGGACGACATATCCGGATCTCGCCCGGCGTGCACCGGCCGTGCGGGTGAGGCTAGGCACAGAGCCCCGGACGGTGGGAAGTGCAGGATACCGCTCCCGCCGCACGCGACGATGACAGGCGCGAAGGCCTGTTCGAAGCGTTGGACGTGCAATGCTCCGGCCTCTTGTCTCGATTTCCTCCGCGCTCGGCCGCCTCCGTTTTGCACTCCTCCCCCGTCGTCCGCTACAACAACCCTTTGATTTCCGCGGCCGGTTCTTTCTCTTATAACCCCCCCCCTCCCTCCTCCCCCGCACCCCCTACACCCTCCCCTGATTTCTTCCCATGTCCCTCATCCGCGCCCCACTCGTCCTCCTTCACGCCGTCCTCTACCAGGTCGCGAGCACCCCTCCAAACAAGTCGCCTACCATCGGCCGCTACGACACCTCCGAGTCCCCTTTGATCAAGATCGCCCCCTTGATCTTCAAGGTCTGTCTCTCTCTCTCTCTCATTCCACCGCCTTTCGGCCCCGCCAGGACGCCCGCGAAGCCGTTCGCGCCGTCACCCTCGTTCGGACCCTGTCACCCATTCTCTCATCTCTTCTCACATCTCGGCGTCTTTACATATCCGGCTGTCCGCCTCCCACAATCGTCCTTTTCGCTCTTCCAGCTCCGAACGCATGTATTGACCATGTCTCCCAGATCCAACAGCCGCTCGTCTGGTTGTGCACCATCGCAGACATCCTCCTCGTCCTATCCCAACACCTCCCCCGATCCGCCCTCTCCACCGCCCTCCCTACCGTCCTCTGCCCCACCTCCACCTCCCCTGCTTCTCTGATCCGTCCCACAAACTCCTTCCTCATCGGCCTCGCCCTCGTCACCGCCGGAACAGCCCTCCGCGTCGCCTGCTACCGCACCCTCGGCCCCTTCTTCACATTCGACCTCGCCCTTCTTCCTAAACACAAGCTCATCATATCAGGCCCCTACTCCTTTGTCCGCCACCCGGCCTATGCAGGTTCGCTACTCGTCCTCGCCGGCATAGGTCTCGCCGACCTCTCGCCCGGAGGCTGGGTTGCCGAGTGCATGTCCTCGACCTCCCGTAGAGGTTCTCAGAATTGGGGCAGTCTGTCGGGCGGCAGCATGGCCTACGCATGGGCCGGTTTTGCCATCTGGTACGGGTGGTGGCTCGCCGTCGGCGTCCGCCGCGCCCGGATGGAGGACGCGGCGCTGCGGAAGGAGTTTGGCAAGGAGTGGGACGAGTACGCCAACCAGGTCGCGTGGTGGTTCTTCCCTGGCATCCTCTGAACCGACATGTGCTCGTCGTCTGTCCACGTTGAGTGAGAGTACGTACGAAACGCGCCGCTGACGATGGTGAGTGGTCGTTCCGCGACTGCGCTTGGCAGCGCGGTTGTAATACTACCGAGGTTGATTGACGTTATCGACTGCAGACCGCCGGCCATTACATATTATATCCGGACATCTTGCGGACTCTACGATCGTGGCACGACGCTTCCATGCTCTGTATGCATACCGTCATCTGTTCGTCTTCTCAACATGCACCTCGTTTCGCATTCACCTGTGTACGATAGCGCTGTAGCCCCTCGCATGCTGCTGCCATCTAATTGACATCTTCGCCGCCCTAGACGGCCTATCGCCGACGACGATGATTGCGCGCACTTCTGCACATGATTCGCAGGGGGTATCGGACGATCGGACCCTATAAGCTTTCCATCACATACTGTACACTTGGTGAGACACTGCCACCGCCACCGCGTCAACCGGCGGATTTCTCGACTCAACGCTCCCCTTGACGACAATATTATTGACCACCCCCGCCCGTCTAGACGACGGCGATCGCACGCGCAGCAGCGTCCCCCTCGACCTTCTTCCTCGCCTCAGTCAGCCGTGCCTGTTCTTCCTCTATCATCTTCGCCTGGATGCCCACCCGCGCCGGCACAATCCTCCGCCGTTCGGTCCTCGGCCTGAACTCGAACCTCGTGGCCCCGAGCGCCTTGAGCGTCTTGAGCTCGACGAGCGAGTACTCGTCCGGGTCGTCGCGCGCGAAGCAGAACGGCTCCTTCAGCCCTACAGGCGGGTTCGTGATCACGCGCGGGATGCGCAGGTGGTTCTTGCTCGCCGAGTGCAGCATCAGCGGGTGCAGCAGGACGACGTCGCCCGTCTCGGCCGTGAGCTCCACAAACTTGGTGCACTCCTTCACCTTCTCGAGGTGAGACCAGTAGCCGGGGTCGTCGCGCGGATCAGCGTACTTGGTCGCGCTGTCGCTCGGCACGAAGCACAGCTTGGCGGGGAGGACGCCCTCGGGGTGCTGCGCGAGGTAGCGGGCGATCATGTCGATGCCGTCGGGCGCGATGTACGTCGCCCCTCCCGCGTGCGCGATGTCCGAGAAGACGGGGATGACGAGCAGCGCCTGCTCGGGCGAGTCGAGGAAGTGCACGAAAAAGTCGCCGTCGACGTGCCAGTTGTCGAGCTCGACCGGCGGCACCGGGTGCGGGTTCGCGGCGAGCGCGGGCGTGCCCAGGTTGACGATGAACGAGTCGCCCCAGGCGGAAGAGACGGGGTCGATGCGCTCTTCGCCGCCGAGCAACTCTTTCATGATCTCCCAGACCTACGCGCGCGCCGAGCCGTCATGTAGGTGGAGCGTGGTTCGCAGACACAGGGAACGTGGTGTACACGCGACGGGCCACATGAGCGAACGGTTGCGTAGGGCACGTAAGGCGCAGGGCCGGGCATTGAATCGAAACGTGTAAGAATCGAAACGTGTAAAGCAGCACCAGGGTCAGCATACCGGGCCCGGGAACGACGAGACAAGGTACGGAGTGACGCTGCAGAAGCAGAAGCACGTGTGGAGTGGGTTATGTGCTCGGGAACAAAATCAAGCTCAAACGAAGACGGGCATGATCCGAGCAGCAGTGGGGTGGAAAGAAAGACTCACCCTAGGAGCGAATGTCGCGACCGGCTCCCGCTTGTGCCACGGCATGTGGATGCGGTCCCGGTCGACGGGCCATGTCGACTGGTCGTCCGGGTCCATTCCGAGGCGAACCCACATGTCCTTCGTAAACTCTGCCGCTTTCTCCCTGGAGAAGGCTTGCTTCACGATGAGATAGCCGTTTTCCATGAAGAAGTCGACCTCCTCAGCTGTCCGCGATCCCGGTTCATCGATTCACACACACGAGACGCAGTGGTCGCACGAGCGTAGCCCACGGATCCAAGGATGACGGCATAGGGGCAGGTTTGCATAGTATGGAAGGCCGGACATCCATGCGTTTGGGTGCAGCGTAGGTAGGATAACATGATGCGTACGTACGCGTTACAATGGACGCGCGAGTTTCCGGGTCCGGGGCGGTCCATGTTGTAAGGTACCGTTCACATTCCAGGGCAGCACATTTTGAGGGCGCATTCGTCGGCAGAGGCAGTGATCGCAGGTGAAAAAGAAAAAGAAGTAAGCTTGGTTAGGGCCGCAGTCGAACATGCACGGATAAGCATGTGAAGAAGCGAAGAGCTCCACTCACGAGTGAGATGCTTGTATTCCTTGACCATGATGGGACCCTGATAGACGGGCTGGTGCAACAGCTGAGCTGAGCTATCTGCGGACGTTCGGTCGGATAGAGTACGACTGTCAACAGTTCAGTGGCACCAATCCACACGATAGGAGACGTGCTCGAGACTCGAGAACCCGTGTGCGCATGGTTAGGCTCGGTATATGTATGTGGGGAATTCTCGGGCATGGGTCAGCTGCCCAACCTGTGGCTTGCACGCTCTAGCAAGTCGATATCTACGGCGGGCATCCGGGGCACCTGGGCACTCCGTCGAAGCCCGTCGAGACGGCAAGTACCACCGACGGCATGCAAAAATAGCTAATGTCCTCTCATTCAGACTCAGTCGCGAACGCGAACAACATAATCTATACAGTACTCGATCATAACGCACCGTATTCCGGACCGTCCTCCGCGGATGAATGTGAAGCGAACAGCGCAGATGGCGGCCGCCGGCTCTGCAGAGAATCATATCAGTTCTGAATGGTCACTCAGCCGGTGTGGAATCGCCGTCGGGGAACGAGAACAGCAAGCGTCGTCGTCTTCGATGACGAGATTTGCGGGGCCGACCATAAGGTACGCGGCGGTCCGTAGTCGGCAGCCAAGAATTCTACAAAGGATGTTGATCGGGGCCGGCATCTATAAACACGGGGGATATCTTCACAGCCCGAAGCACCCGAACGTTGTCACCAGCCGGAGCCTATCTGCGAAACGTGTGAAGCTTGCAAGCGAGGGAGATCGGCCGGATAAGAACCGCAAGAATATGTATTGTACAAGGGTTCTGCAATTGACGGACATTGTTACGTTTGCGTTTGACGATAGCGAACACGACGGTGACGAAACCCCTACAATCTACGGTCTTCAGCCAGCAGGAACAGCAGGCCAGAAACAGATAGCTCACTCGAACAAATGGACACGAGTAATACTTCAGTTGGCGTTGGTAGCAGCACTCTTCAGATCCCTCTCATCGAAGGGATCGCCAAACTCTATGAGCCGCAGAGTCAGTCAAGACTATGACCGTGCGGGTGCGACGAGAATCTGAACACGTACGGTGTCTCAACTGTTCAACAAGTGAAGAGTCTACCAGGTCTTCCCTCACCGCCCTCGACGGACCAGGACCCATGTGGTCCCAGTACGAGCCACCACCGACGGGACGCACATCCTTGCGCCTACTCTTTGGGTCGCGCGCGCTCGACCCACCGAACATCAAGCCTCCAGGAAGGCGACGTTTAGGGGCGGAAGCGCCACCAAAGAAGTTGTTGGGGCCTTGTGGGAGGGCAGGGAGACCGGGCTGCTCAGTCGGTCCAGTGATATCCTCCACTTCGTTATCCGACGAAGAGTCGGACTCGCCGGCAGAGTGGCGATCGCTCGGGGAGTTCATAGCTGGTTCAGTAGCAACCAGTGGCGTAGGTTCTGGAGTGAAGTATTGCTCTGCGTTCGGGGATGAAACTCAATGGCGAGAGGAGATGGCGAGTGCTGCGACAACCGAGGACACAACTTGAAGCCCACGCCGCCACAACGTGGGCGTCTTAACCGCGTACCCCGGTCGAACGGCCCGAAAATGGATGACCGCGGGCTTGGAGCAGTAAAAACCTGAACATTGCATATGACAGAAAGCGGGGCGACACTCGATGACTACAAGAGCTACAGTACATAAACTACTTGAAGATGTCCAGACTATCTGCAGTAATCATCTCGTCGAGGGTTTCTAACACTTACGCCCGTGCCGACGATCATAGCATCACTACAAATTCATACACCATTCCCAGAGGCTTGCAAGATTGGGGCGCTGTGCGATCCAGAACGACAGAGCAATTTCTGGTGCGGTAGACTCTGCTGAAGGCTAGACTTCTTCCCGCGATGACCGATGATTTTGAAAAAGGTGAGCAGAGTAGCCATGCAAACCTTCGATAGACGTAAGCAGACTCAGTAATGTGATTGTGACCAGAATACCACACTTACTGCCACCATGTTCACATAGTATCCGAACAGATCCATGAAGACACCTGTAAATATGCACAATGAGGAGCCTGCAAGTAATCTAGCATATGCCCACGAACCGAAGTCTGGTGCATCTGGCATGGCCGCCCTGAGTTGAGGTATGAGCAGGATGTTGGCGAGGGGAAGAAAGAGAGCGGTGTCTGGAACGGATCGGCCGCAATGAGCGCAGACCGCGATGTAGACCATAATACAAGAGAGAAGGTAGTTCGTCAGGAAAAGCGTGATCGCGAAGAGCTTGACTCCAAAGCATCGCTGAAACATAAATACACGGTCATTACTAGCAAGAGCTCCGTTCAACAGGAAGGCACCTACGCGAATCGAAAAGGTCACGTATACAGCACGGTCATCATACAAATTTGCGACAGCTTCGACCGAATCTATCCGAGTTTTGTAACCGGTGTGCCCGCCGTACAAATGAAGCAAGTATATGGGGAGAGAGCTTGGGCCACTCTGGACGTTGTCGAAGGCCTCAATGATCGTACTGATCGTGTATACGTCATAAGGATACCATGCGGAGGCAGAGTGTTGGCGCCTACTCGCGAGGGTTTGGTCGTCGGAGATCCAGGTAAAGCTATGTAAAGTATTGAAAGTTTCCATTGAAGCGAATCTAAAGGCGCGCTCGAATCTTCGTGAGCCACGTAGTGCGTCAACGCTCAGAAGCCTGCCGCCTACCTGATTTGATGATTGTCTCTTTGGAGGATCAGTTCATCCGAAGCGTTGCGCGAGTATTGCTCAGCCCTAGATGCAAGCTTGGCACCTAGCCGTTCTCACAAGTATGAATTTGCCTACGAGTCAAACCAAACAGAATACGAGGTTTGTGACAGTCCACATCCTAGTTCTGAGAGCTCCAGGGCAGATTTTGCTTTCTCGCTTCCGGGAATCAGACGGCGATCACGTAGAAAACGACCGCAACCAGTCGTCCACCAATTCAGCGTCAACGTTGATGAGAAGAGATCGATGTTGACGGGTATCAGAGCAAGACCGACCTGTCAAAGCGAGCGACGATGACATTAGCTTAGAACGAAATGCAAGCATCAGGGCACCTACTCCTGGTCCGGACTGATTGACGAGTAACTCGATACCGCTCATCACTGGAATGAGCCTTTCAAACGATAGACCAACATCCCATGCGAAAATACCTGCACTGAAAGCAGCTAGCAGGATGGTCGCCATAGTACACGCGAACAGGCGTGGGTGGCCACTCCTCGTGTGTAACTTTGTCAAGCACAATGGGGACATGTTAGAGATGTGTCCGGCAGAAGAGGTACTAATCCGGGCTTAAGTAGCGATGTGAGCTCCCCGAGGAAGATAGGAACGTCAGTTCCCCCTACAAGCTTCGTGCATGCCTACCCCAGGATCGCACATATGCGTGGACTGACGCTAAATTGCAGGGCCTCGATAGCTGTCCGACAGAGACGAGCCACGGCTTGGAGGCGGAACCAATTTTATTACACGTTTGCTGTGCAACGTCGTCCTTGGGAGTGACCTGCACCAAAGGGGTGATACGAACCGAATAAGTTACGGACGTTGTATTGGGGTCCTGCACTGGATGTTGACTCACCTGCCCACCCATCGTCGATTCTATTTGAGGTTAGGGCACGGTGAGTTATGGCATCCCGCCACGGTTCAAGTCACCTGCTAGGAGCCGTGTATGTGAGACTCTGAAGCGTGTAAGTAAATTGACCGGATCGGAGTCGGGAGACAGGTGAGTGTCTATTTCATGTCCGACCGACTCGGAGATCGTGACCGAACACGCTGCAAGACACCCAGATGGATGCATTTATATACAGGTGTATTGAATGTCATATCGGCGGCACAGCCTGACAGGGAGATGTAACAAGCGGCATACGGAATCCAAGCTGGTTATGTGGCCCACGCGCAACGTTCCTAATGCTTTGAGGCTGTGGAGCCAGTGTCAGGGTACAACTGACGCCATCATAGCAGTCAGTACCAGACGCAGATGAAGCGCGTACGCACTTACTTTCCCTGGGTTGAAGAGGTTGTATGGGTCGATTGTCTTCTTGATCGTCTTCATGAGGTCGACCGTGCCCTCGCCAAGCTCCTCCACCAAGTACTCGCGCTTGCCCATGCCGACGCCATGTTCTCCCGTGCACGTGCCGTCGAGCGCGATCGCTCGCTCGATCATTCGGTGGACAGCCGCACGTGCCTTCTCGAGCTCTTCGTCGTTTCGGAAGAGCAAGAGTGCGTGGAAGTTGCCTGCGTTGCGAAGGTCAGTATTCTCTTTGGCATCGAGGATCGGGGCGGGATTGTACCATCTCCCACATGTCCGACGATAGTTGATACAATGCCGTTCTGCGCGAGATCTTCTTTCGTCCCATACACAAGCTCCGGAAGTCGGGATGGTGGCACACTACGTCACCTCAGTGATTATATCGTTCCATGCCCAACATGGACTTACCAGACGTCCGTACTCCAACCCCTTGCACCAGGAAGGATAGCCAGACTAGAGTACAGCGCGTTCTTCCGATCGGTCCAAAGATCCGCAGCTTCCTTGTCATTGCGGGCTAAGGAGAAGCCTGTGCCGCCATATTTCGAAGTGATTTGCTTGACGATGTCTGCGGTCTCCTGGAGAGCGCGGGGCGTCGGACCTTGTAATTTGAAGAACAGGCTGTCCTTCTCTGGCCATTTGCGCGTGGAGAGTCCATAGACATTCGTAGCGCGCATGAAGTCGTTATCGCACAGCTCCACGCATTCTACGAATAATCGCAGTAATAACAATTAATTGAGTCTTTGGGTAGGAAAAGAGGAAGGGGGGACGTACGAATGCCAACGCCTGAATTGACGATCTCAATGACGGCTTCCGTAGCCTTGCGAACGTTTGGGAACTGCACGACTGCTACGTTCGTCGGTAACACGGGCGCAAGGCGTATGGTCACTAGCGAAGAATGATTTGTCAACAACTTTCAACAGTGAAGAGACGGGGTCGCGAACCTTCGGTGACAATGCCCAAAGTTCCTTCTGCACCGATGAACAACTTGGTCACGTCAAAGCCTGCAGACGACTTGCGGGCGCGACTTCGAGTCTTGATCACCTCTCCTGAAGGGAGTACGACCGTCTTCATCCACCAGATCGCGTGAGGGTGGCCCCTTCGATCGAGCGGAAAACACATACAGCATTAAGGAACCATTCTGCCTTTGCGGTTCCGTATCTAACCGCATTGGCTAGGAGTCACACTCAGTAGGCTTAGTACATCTTCACAAGAGATGACACATACTGCCGGAACAACCAGTGCTGAGCATGCCGCCGATAGTCGCGCCAGGTGCCGGATCGAGCTAACAAGCGACTCAGCATGAGGCGGGTAGTTGAAACGTGTCAACCCACAGGGAAGAACAAAGGTATGCCTACGATCCAATTCAGTACTTCGTTCGTCCATCTCAGCGACTCGCTTCTTACCTTTCTTTTTCAGGGTCTCGTTCAAGTCCATCCACCGGAGGCCAGGTTGGCAGACAACGTCGGAGTCCGCCTCTATAGGGGACTTCGTCAATCTCGTAGTCCTCGGCTACATTCGTACTAGACCTACGTACCGTGTATCTCGATGATTTTATCCATCTTCGACATGTCAACACAAATACCACCGACCGATGGCTGCGGGTAAACACAGTTCACGAGGAGTACACAGGACTCAAATTGAAACATACCGCACGGAAGTGTCCTTCAAGACTGGTCGCTCCGGAGTATGGAATCACAGGCATCTTGTACTTGCCCGCCACCTTGACGATCTTTACTACGTCCTCTGTGGACGCAGGATACACAACCACTGAGGGCGATGACGCTATCCACAATGTTCAATGCTCTTGTCCACTGCAATTCTGCGGGAACGCCCTCCTTTGGTTATACAGCAAAGCCGGAGCGCACTCACATATATGATAGTCATTATCCGACATCCCATGCTCCGCCAAATAGTCAGGGTCGGTGGTCACGGTGTCCTCATTCGCGAAGAGGGTCTTGAGCTCCTCAATCGCCTTCTTGAAGTCCTCCGGGGAGCCATACTTGTTGTTTAGTTCAGTGCTTGTAGTGCTGACGGACAGCGCATCTTTTGAAGAAGTGGCATAGTAGTAGGCCGCGGCGCCGCTCAAAGCAGATCCCAGAATAAAAGCCAGTGGCGCATTCAGACTGGACTTGGGCTGCCCTTGTGAGGTGGACGAGCTGTTCCAACGCGAGCCAAGCGATTGTGGACGCAGAAGAGGCGTCGGAGCACGACGCGTTGAGGCAATAACACCGGGAAACCGCGTAGCAGAACCTTTCAGAGCGGTGAGGCGCGACGTTCCTAGAAGCATGGCGGAGCGGTATGTTCAGGACATATAGCAGTTCGAGTGTGCAGGTGGGAAGCGTAGTAGTCAAGTGTGTCTCCGGCGTCGTCCTGAGACCTTTCCCACAAGGAAGCGACTTGGAAGAGCGAGGAAGCGATGGAATTAGGCATCGGGTCAGGGGTCGGAGACGGCGTCGGGGGGATGAGGTGAATGTTCGCAACAGCTTCGCCACTGACCTGTACCTGTCACCTGCTCGCCTCAGCGTCTCTCACCACTCGTCATGGTACGAGCAACAGAGCTTGCCTTGATTCTTCTTCGCGTACTTACTCATTTGCGATGGATGTATTTAGGATGCAACTACTCGTGCTCATGAAGTATGATATTGTACAACATCGGGTTTCCCCCTTTGACTCCTTTTGCGCCACAATCTAATCACATATGCCCGCTCCTGTCTCATGACCACGGCACGACTGCAATATCCGACTTCGACTATGACAGGTCAAACCCTGCATTCGAATTGATCGCCTGCACGAGCTTCTCCTTCAAAACCCGCCTGTCCGTATACCTCGGCAGCTGTGCGGAAGAGCGAAGCATTCAGTAACATCTCGCATGACCTACACGCGGTCAGAAAGGTGCAGCGTACCTTCAGCAAGTTCACGCATGTACTCGCGGTGGGCAGCCGGGTTTGGTCGTCCGTCGCGTCTCGGATAGCAAAGTGGGGGTTGAGCTCTTTGAATCCGCTGCACGTTTGGATTGAACCGCCTGAGCCGGTTTCTCTTCGCTGACGATGACAAGGGAGAACTTACAGCAACGGCGGCCGACTGCAGCTTGTGGCGAACCTCAGCAGCTTCCTGCGGTCTTCGTGACTCAATTCATTTACGACTTCCCAGAACAATTGAATCGTCAGATGGTGGTCGTCGTACAACCCACCGTACTGCGTGTTCGCGCGCAGGTCCTCGACGTCGATCGGCGAGTCTACTCCCCCAAGAAGGATTTGCAGCTCCTGTTGGTTAAACATCCTGCCAAGATAACGCGTGGTTATTGGTTGCTGACGAGGACAATTGAGGAGGCGCACCTTAACCACTTGGGGTCGATGATTTCCGACAGACCCTCGAAGAACGCCGTACTCTGCTTCTTGATCTGCTTCGTCAACTTGTAATGTGCGACGAGATACATATACTGCAGCCTGTTCTCCCTCGTTACCGGAATATTGCTTCCGTTCGGGATCAAGTCGATCGACTTGGTTACCCCGAACTCCTCCTGCGCTACGGTGAAGTTGAGGGAGAGCTCTTCGGGGTCACCGGTGTAGTGTTTGAGCTGCATGAGACCTTGGTAGAGCTCGGGATCAAGCGATGCGAGATCGTCGAGCCAACTTTGCTTGTCCAGCCATTTCGCGAGAAAGAACCCAGCGAAGGCGATGTCAACTAGGATCCCTTCGTATAGCGCCTTTCCGAGGATACGACCGATGAAGCGGTACCACGCCAGGCTGTGCGCTGAAAAGCAAAATCGTCGTGGAGTTAGTGGCCTATGACACAAGAGCAACATCGAAGCGTTTGTAGAGACTGACGTTCCGTAGCGTATGAGTGTGGAGCCGGGTAAAGCTCGTTCTTCTTGGTTGCCAACCACAGGCCTCGATCGGTGTCGAACACCTCCCGAGTCAAGCTGGTAAGAAATTCCTTGAATACACCTCCACCATCAATTCCGGCTCTGCAGCGGATGAAAGTGAGCAACATGAAACAGAACACCATGAGTCATGTACATACTCCTCATTGCCGAATTGATCAATGAAAGTGATCGCAATCGGTGCTCTTAAATCTGCGTCCGCTAGCCTGTCAAAACCATCCTGCGCGATATGATCTCGTCTGATGACGATCTTCGCTGCGCCCATGCGCCCGCGCCACGGCATATAACCGCGCGAGACGATGTCGTTTTGGACGAATTGCCTGAAGATCTCTACACGCACGTCGAAAGGGATAGCGAAGGGGATATTGTTGAGCACTCCAAGTCGGGGGGAGAGGTAGGCAAGTTGACGCTTGTTCAGCGGAGCAACGCGGCCATTCTCAGGGACCGAGAGTTGGCGTTCTTCAAAGCTGGACGTGAAGTTTAGAGTTAGAGCGATCAGAGTAACGAGAGCATGGAATTGCGACTTACACAGCGGCTTTGATGAACGTGTTCATGTCCACATGAGCCGTGATCAACCAATGACCTGGAGGTGTGAACGGTCGTCTCGAACTGTTGTCACGTACATATGAGTAATTACGAACATCAACGGATATGAGCAGGAGGGCTACGCACTCCCGAGCATGAAGCGCTTGCAAGCACTTGGTCGCCTTCTCCCGGACGTTCTCCCACCTGACCTGCCCAAGGCCAGGCACAGCTTCCTGCGCACTATTCGGGTCCTCACGCCAATACAGCGTGAACGCTATGTTGAGCAATTGTCGCGAGAAGCCCGTCAGCTCGTCAAGGGAAAGAGGGTTGCGCGCTACGCTCGGAGTCACTCCGGTCGAAAAGAACTCATCGTCGCCCATCGTAAGTAGCGCTTGCGTGTATAGGTCGGCAAGGAGGAGAAGTGGTGGCCAGTGAGGTGCGTTTTTGGGGTCTGTTGAATATGTCTAAGTGTAAAGTCTCTTCCGGGAAGAATAGAGATGGATCGCTACACGTACTGGAAATCTCCGACTGCGCGTCGTCTCTACCTAGAGGAGAACTACGAACGAACGTCCGGTAGATCTCCTTGACGAGACTGCCTCGATTGTACATCACAATCGCGCTCAGCACCCTGTCCCTCCTGGACGGCCAGACGGTGCTAAGCGCTAGAGAATAAGCAACGACAGGCTGTAGCAAATTTTCGTTTTGGGAGGCACGGAGAAGCGAAGTGATATGGTCTGATGCAGGTATGATCAATAGCCGTTTACGCGTCCGGTCGTCAAGTGGCGGAAGCCGTTGCTTTGGCTCGAAAGAGGATACGACCTCAACGGTGGTCTCCTCCTCGTCCTCAGATTCGCCATCAGCCCAGTTACGGGCGGCATCTCGTTTGTCTTCTGGAGGCTCTAGTGCGTGCGTCGGAAGGGCGTTCATGAGAAGCGCACATAGTTGGAGGTATGTGGCGAATGCTGGTGGAGAGAGGGCAGCATATCTAGGCGGCATGAATGCAACGAGATTAGCTAGGAGGTGTATCTTGGATTCTAGGGATTGAAGCTCTGGAGCACTGATGATGTCAAGTGGAACAACATGGATGGATGCGAGTGGGAGACGTGCAGAGAACGGTCCAAGAGCAGGCAGAATACGATTCGGGAACAATGGGATGGTGAGAATATTTGAAAGGAGCTCGCGAAGAGAGAGCGGGAGAAGCTCTGGATAGGATAGTGGCGCAGCGAGGAGATCTGCGAGAGGAGCAATTAAGGGTGAGGGTTTGAAGGGTGCAGGCTGCGATGTCCGATACAGTCAGAAGCAAGAGGCCTAACGATGAGAAGTGCGCTCACGAGTTGCAAGACCACTTGACGAAGACTGGAGTAGAACCCATGCGAGAGGAGATATCGGGAGACGTCAGCGCGTTTGGGGTTGCCGGAAAGCAGCAGGCTGAGGACTTGTAGATGAGTCTGTGCATACTGCGAGCTAGACGAGTGTCAGATGTCTGATTGAAACGAACGTTTGGTGGACATACCGGGGGTCGGTAGAGAGGGAGCGGAGAAGCATAGTGGAGACCCGCTGGAGGAGTACGAGCCAGCTTTGATCGGATTGTAGCAGAACATCTACAAATGGAGTGAGGGGAAGGCATTGAGGGAGGAGAAGTGGCAGAGACCTTTCTTAGAAGCGAGGATGACGGTGGACCAGCGGCCGAGTGCATCCTCGTCCTGGCCAAGAAGGACAAGACAGCGGAGGGCAGTGAGAGAGGAGAGATCTTGGAGAAAAGTGGCGCGAAGGGACTGCCTGACTGCGGCGCGAGCGAGGTGGGATCTCCATATACGCTGTATGTGGAGAGCAGCGTCTTGGCGGCGTTTCTGTTCCTCACGCTGGGATCTGCGAAGCTTGGCGTCCTGGAGGATGTCGTTGTGGGTAGTGGCGGAGTGGATGCCGCCTAAATTGATGTGTCTTCTGCGTTTGTTGGGCTGATCTCCAAAGAGAGGGACGTCCATGGTGTGTAACCAACAGTCTATGTAGTAGGAAACAGCAACTGAGTCCGGAGAGATGAGCGTACGGCGTTGAGTAAGCTCGCGACCTCGGCGGCGCGAACGCGTAGGCCTGCTTGGTGCACGTGATGGGGGAGCACGTGGGGTGACGTCAACTGGATAAGTACGCCTGGACTCCACGCCGCCGCCCATGGGTCGCGTCCTCTCCTTCATACTATATGTACCCCGCCCCCGACAGTCCTCCGCCAAACAATGCCGTCTTCTCCCCCGCCGTCGTCGGCTGTCCTAGCGACGACGTCCGCTACTCCCATATCTGACGACTCCTCACTCACATACCGCCCTTCCCGTCCGCCCTCGCTCAACTACTCCCTCGCACCCCGACGCCGTAAATTCGCCATCGCCAGCTTCCTCATCCTCATCTTCATCGAGGCCGGCGTCATCCCCCTCATCGTCTTCTACGCCATCCGATGGGGCGCCCACCTCAACAACACAAAGAACCTCGCCATCATCACCTCAATAGTCGGCACTTACTCCTCCTACAAGCTCGCACGAAGGTCATGGTATCTCTTCATTAGCGACCACGGACATCAGCGCAGACCGCTCGGCGCCAGCAGGTTTGGCCCAGACGCATTCACGTACGTTGTCTCCTCCCTACCGTCTTGTCTACCTCCCCCGACCCCATAGCATGGTCGAGCGCATTCACGGCGTTCGCGTCTCCTCAAGCCAACCGCTTCCATCAGCTACGGGACCGGCTGCAAAGCTCCAATTTTCCCCATATCTCATGTTCCCTGAACTCACCCATCCCACCTCTTCAGCATTCAAATCGGTCTTGCTATGACCGGCTTCTTCGTGCCCCTCGTTATTGGCTCCTCTGTGTGAGTACTCATTCCCATGGCACCTCCACGCTTCCCACCATGCCCCACTGTTCTCGTCATCTACGCATTGCTGACCATGTCCGTTTAGAAATCCCGCCTCCGTACACACGGTGTCCATGTCCCTATCATGCTTTATGATCGCCTTCTGCGTTCCCCTCCTCATCACTTCCGTCTGGCCGCATAAACTCAAAATGCCCTTCCGCGTCTCCTCCATGCCTCCCTGGACCGGCCTTCCTCCAGCCATGTATACCCTTGTCGAGGACATCGTCGCTGTTGACGGCGGAGGCTGCGTCGAGTTCCGCCAGGCCTGGCGGATACGTTACGAACACTCCGCCATCATGCGCCGCATTATCCGCATCACCTCCTTCTACTGGGGCGCATCCGGCTGCATATGCGCCGCCGCGTTCATCGCCATCGCCTGGACGACCCCCGAAGATATTGGCTATGGCATCGGCTGGGGCTTGCCGTGGCTCTGGGCATTCACAAGTCTGGCGTTTACCGTGCGGTGGGTGAAGAAGGAGCTCAAACGGGAGCAGGAAGAGTGGAACACTGTAGGCGTGCACGAGCTATTCAACTTACACATCGACCAGACGCTGGATGAGAAGGCCGTCGCAAGAGAGGTCAACGACTATAACGAAGCCCAGGACGGCGTTTGACGTAACGTTTCATCTCACCAGACGTTTCCTGGGCTCTGTGGGGATTGCTTTTCGTCATCGGTCACTTGGGATGAAACGGGCGCCGTGTCGCTATCGTATGTTGTTGTCGGCTCTACGATGTTATGCTATTGTGACGATACTCTACCTAATTCACTTCCGGTCCTTACGATGTAGCTACTATCAAGCCGGATCACTTACAAGGTCATATCCTGTCTCCCCTGTACTCAGTATAGATCATTCGATCATGCCATGTAGGACTGTATAACGAGCCATCCGTTTTGCGCAGCTTGTGGACAGCACAGGATGAGCGTTATTTCTGCTCGGACTCGACGTAATTGTGATTTGACAGCGCCGGAGAACAGCTTCCGAGGCGGGGAGTTTAGCACCGCTTCTCGTTCTCGCGGGTCTCCACCATGACAGTGCTAGTAGTCCACAGTAAGCCAAATGACCTCAACTCTTCTCATACGGCGCCGACCTTGTCTAACCTCGGACGTCTGTCTAGCAGTAATACACGTGCCGGCTAGATGAGTGATCGTGGCGCATGGAGTTCACATCCTAGCTGACGCGCGAGGCATTATTGAAAGGACAACCCTGTGGCTCCCGCAGCGTGACAATATACAGGCGTGTGGGTGCACAGAATGCTGATTATCACGTTGAACCCAGGAGGACTTGTCAAATATGCCAAGCTCGAGATCCTAAGTTGCCCGACTCGCTCAGGAGAGTAATACTAAAAGCCATCTGGTTGCCAGAGCTGGGCCGCATTCTCGAATTCTACGCCAACTATGGACTTGTGCCGACGATTTTGTAGTTCCCTTCGTAGTCTCAGCCCGCTGACGCGCGGCCAACCGGCGAGGCACCCACGTCTGGTCGTCTGTACGCTTGTTACTTTCCTCTTGGGCGCAATCAGTGCTGCAGTGCTCGTTTCGGACGTGGGCATATCGTTCGGGAGCATTATCTCCGTCATGAGTGGGGTCAAATTCCTCGTCGACGTTGACCCCACCGGCGCGGGGGTATGTTGGTCCGCCTGTTCCCGCGTAGTTCAGCCTTCCTTTAACGTTGCTGACGTATTCGTCGATAGATCGGATTGGCGTTGGCTCCCACAAACATCGACCTATCGTCGTCCACGCTCACGCTCAACTGGTGGGCAACAGGACGTCGTCCCACTTCTGCTACCGGTTCTATCCAGCCCGAAGGCGGAGATGCGGCTTCAATTTTGGAGGTGCCTCAAGCGACGTGCGGGCAATCGTCGGATTCGTTCAACATATGGGTAGACAAGTATGTGTCTGTCTTCCTCTTATGCCCTACCTTCCTGAACGCACCCTTGTAGCAATCCCACCTATGCGTGGAATGCGTCTAACGTCATCCTTCGCGATGATCAGTCCGCGATACAGTAAGTAGCTACCACCTGGTCTCAAAACATCGTCCTAACAAGGGGTAGCAGTTTCACATCGCAAGAGACATTCGATACTTCGCATAATTTCACTTGGATCTCAAAGCGCCAATTCTTGGCGCAGCGACGGCAGCACTCCGTCTCAGCATGGTACCCATTCGACCGCTACGCCGTGAGCACAACAATTGGGGCATTCGACACCGATGGATCCCCACTCTCGATCTACTTCGTTCATCTATACGCTGGCTTGTCGGGATACAATCTACAGGTAGATGCGATCGAGCATGTGAGAACATCAAACAGCGACGAAGCATTGCATATCACTTTCTCGATTCGTGTATGTCCTGGGGCAACTCGTCATTTATTTGTTTTGTTAGTTGTTGCTACGATGCTGATCGGAGAATTACAGCGCTGCGAAGGCGTCAAGCTCTTTGCAATAACCCTCTTCCTCACCAACTACGTTCTCGCCGCGGCTATGGTTTGGGTTGCAGTCTGTGCGCACTACGGACCCTCACTCCCGGAGTCTGCGCTGTTCCTCCCTCTCACAAACATTCTGCTCCTTCCTCAACTGAGAGGTGCGATGCCAGGCGTCCCAGATTTCGGTTCGTGCTGCTTTCCCGAATGCTTTTGCTGGGTTGATATATGATCTGGTCGGGAACAGGTATCTTTATGGACCTCTTTGGGTACTACGTGAATATCTCTGCGGTATGTCGAGGTATTATATCTGATCTCGATATTGTATCAACTGAAGACACAATTGAACAGATCTGCTTCGCTGCGTTATTCATGTTCTTCAAGATCGTCAGTGGACGTCGCCCCAGTAGCATTATTGGTGTAACAGAGCACCCGCCGTCCGAAGCCCTCCCACTATACAGGAAGGGCGCTCTTCCAATAGCCGTCGAAAGATCTCTGTCCATCACAGGCACCGTGGAACATTTCGACAAGGGACCTGTCCCCATCCATGGCACGCATCAGCATGTCGAAGACGTTGTGGCGATGTTCTCGGAGAATACGGAGCCTCGTGACGTTTGCGTTCGTTAAATTTTCTTCACCTTATGTCAGGCGAGCCACCACACAAGCCAGAGTCCTGTCAGAATCGACTAAGCTGTCGATCCCGCTGCAAGTACATGGCCGAGTCCTGACCAAACAGAGAGACTGAGACTTCTTACAGACCAGGATGGATCCACCACGACGAAGAGGGGAGCCCAATACTCGGCGAGCAGGGCATGTGTAGTCGCAGTACCCTCGTGGGGTGGTGCGCTTTCCTTAGAAGACGGAGTGTAAGCAATCTCCACGCCTAGCACGTACGTCCTGTGAAGTCGAGGCTCGTCTGCTGGGGATGCGACGCTGTGATCTAGCTGGATCGTCCATCTCCGCTCGTTGGGAAATCCTACGTCGAACGACTGCTACGCGAGCACAGGGATGAAGTGCCAGGAGGAAACGTGATGGGGACGGTCTCTGCTATGCCTTCGCATTCACGACTCGGAAGGACGCGGGGGCCTAGCCGGCGCCTGTTGATTTAGGGTACTCATTGTTTCAGCCAACCGTCCCTCATCCATTCCTCGCGTATGCCTAGTTCAATCTGGATCCTATGAAAGGTACCAGCGCCGACCTCGGATTCGCGTCTCCTGAGAACATCTGGATGTAAGGCCTGCTCTTGCCAGTTGGGAGACACGGCGATTCCCTCCATCTCCAGGAGGGACTGGCACCGTCCAACCAGATGGATGTTGCACGGACCAGGGCATAGGAAAAGTGCAGTGTAGACCCCACTGTCAGTAATGCTTACGCCCAAGCGCGGAAATGTCGAAGGGAGACAGATCTCTCATATGGAACAGGGAGCTGGATGACAGGTTATTGCGACGGGAGATTGCGATTCCTACACCAGGAACGAAGAAGCGGTCGATGTGCGCACGCACCTGAGGACCATCTTGTTTTGCTCCTGAGATGTGCTCTTTCGACTCTTCATCGCACATTCATTAGCCCTCCGGAGCGGACAAGTAGAGACGCACAGAGCGCCGCCGAGGATTTGTGACTTACATTGCTATTAACGATAAGCTCGAGACAAGAGGATTAACGCCGAATCGCTCCTCACGACATGCCCTCTTGGGACCACTGAGAACGACGGCACGAAGCGCCCCCCAAAAAGAATAAAAAGAGGATTAACGATTGGTAGAGTGTCTTGGCCAAGGAACACGTAGTGCTGGCCTGTGATGCGGCCTCGAAGTCATCGTCAGCGAAAAAGACAAACGACGGATGTATACTGCTACAACGAAAGCGTGCTTGACAGAATGTGGCCGATACAGATGGTATAGGCTACAATACAAGTCTCAAGAGATATTGCCTGCGCACCATATCATACCCTCACAAGGAATGAGCGTTCACTGTCACTGTGCCTCGACGACTGTTGGCTGCGCAGCGTCTGGTGCACCTAGTGGCTGCTGTGTCCGCGACATCGCTGCGCCGAGAGCTTGCGTGCGGAAGGCGAGTCCACGCGTCTTCTCGATGATAGATTGGTAGATTGGAAGAGGTGGGCGATGAATCTCGATAACGTTCTGGATACGTGTGGTGAGAGTAATGTTGAGCGGAATGAAGAGGGTAGGCGTACCTTCTCAAGGTCGATCTTGGCATCCGCACCCATACGCGTTTCGCGGATAAGGTTCACAATCCATTTCTCGCCTTCATCGCGCGAGAGGTTAAGACGTTCGGAGAGGTCACTGAGAGAGAGCTTTCGTGAGTCTTTGACTGGAGAGACGGAGAAGAATACTCACCCGATGTCTATGCGCTCGTGTATACGACAATACGCCTCGCTGATGAGATACCGCGCGTTGTCCATGAAATCTTCCCGGAATTCGCCCAAGAAGAAGTCATTTGAAACGACGACTTCGGCTTTGCTGAGCTCCTTCTGCGCGGCTTCGAAGTCAAACTCCACGTACAGTTCCTTGAGGAACTGCGTGACAGGATCTTGGTACTGATATTCTTCCATCTGGATAACCTTGACAATCTCGCGAATCGAGTGACGAACGCGCGACGAAAGCGCCCCAGACGCGGACTTGCGCGAAAGGACGGCGGCCGTCGCAAGATACCGGAGGATCCATGGTGAAGAGGTCTGGATGGTGTTCAGGTAGGTAGGGGCCAAGAAGGTCTCGAGGAGTAGGGTGCGACCCTGGGGGTGGTTGAAATAGACGAAGAGGGACCAGTGGAGGAGCCAGGTGCGAGAGTGGAGTTGCGCGAGAGCGGGATCGGCGGCGCCAGATGAAGGAGTAGCAAATTGGGGATGGGAAGGGGCACGCGAGTCGATAGCATCGCGAAGGGAGTTGAGCTCTTCAAGTGCAACGTCCCACTTACCAGTAAGGATGTCGCACGCGAGCTTACCCCAATGGGCGGAAATAGTGAGGTCGGGGTCGGTGGAGAGGACACGGAAGTGATAGAGGTAATCGGCGGCACCACTGTAATTACCATAGGAGTATTGGAACTTGCCGAAGTTGTATAGAGCGGTGATTTGATCGAGCGTGACCTACACATAGATATAGAAACGTCGCGGACGGAGGACGACATGGAGCTCACATTGTAATGGTCTCGCAGGAACTGCAAGTTTTGGTTCTTGTCTTGACGGAGGGCTTGAGCGACCTCGGGGTTCTCGATCACATCTAATACAGCCTGGGCCTCCTGCTGTAGCTGCTCGTTGGTGGAGACGGCCTTTTCCCGCTTCTCGGCGAACTCTGAGACATATTAGAGGGTTGGAAGAATATGCGTGGATGTATACGCACCTGAAGGGATAGGCTCATCGGGATGCGTCTGCTCAAACAAGCTGACGGCATAGTCCACCATGTTGGTCTCCTTGGCGAGTTCATACTGAGCGGCCTGTACTTGCTCGACGGGGAAAAGATCGCTCTCGGCAAGATGGGCAAGGAGGGGGAAGACCAGATGGCGGTCGCAGTAGGGGATGATCGTTCTCGTGAGGTCGTATTCGGCCATTTTGGAGAGGAGAGGAGGCAGATGGAGGACGGGAGTTGCTCGTCGAGGTCGAGAGTGAGCTCGCCGTTGGCGACAGCCCGAAAAATGTGCTTCCATATCGGGACGTAGATGCACGTGGACAGCCGCGCGCGACACGTCCGCCTGCAGCGGTTGGGCGCTATGGTCCGCATCCTCAGTCCTGCCCTCGTCCTCGTCCTGACCACATCCCCTCCTTTGCCCGCGGCACCATGACCGCCATTGCACAAAACTTGCCTTGGTTCATCAAAGATTTCGGAGTCTCCATAGTCGGCCAGGTATGACTCTAATCCGCTGCCCGCACGTCCGCTCTCAAACACCGTCCAGAAATGCTACACTTCCATTGTCGAAAACCTCGACTTCAGTGATGTCGAATGTCTGAAGTACTCGATTTCGAAAGGTCTTGGGCTGGGTATAGTGGTTGGCGGCTCCATCATGAAGGTGCCTCAGTTGCTTCTTAGTGCGTCGCAACCCCTCTTGTCTTCCGAGCCCGCCTCTTAACCTGAGTTCTGTTTGTAGTTATATCCGCACGCTCAGCGCGTGGTCTCTCCCTGACGGCTTATGTGCTCGAGACGCTTGCCTATGCTATCACCCTTGCATACGCGTACCGCAACAATTTCCCCTTCTCGACCTATGGCGAAAACCTATTCCTCACTATCCAGAACGTCATCATCACCGCCCTCATCGTGCACTATAACCCTCCAAACATCCTTGCGTCTCGTTCCCCCCGTCAGCGCGTCATCCTGGCCGCACAAGCTACGATCGCAACCGCCATCCCGCTTGCTATCTTTCCCACATCTACTATCGCGCTCTTCCAGCTCGCGACTCTGCCCCTTTCCCTCTTCTCCAAACTTCCCCAGATCCGCCAGAACTACCGCGCTCAGAGCACCGGCCAGCTTTCTGCCTTCGCTGTCATCTCACAGATTGGCGGATGCCTCGCGCGTCTCTTCACGACCGCTCAGGAGGTCGGCGATCCCATTGTTGCCGCAGGCTTCGCCCTCGCCCTTGCCCTCAACATCGTTCTCGGCGTCCAATTGTGGCTGTACTGGGGTAAGGATGAGAAGGAAGAGATCGAGATAGGTCATGTTGGTATTTCCGAGAAGGCGCGGACCCACTGGACTCCTCCGCAGAAGGTCGAGGTCGTCATTCCTCCTGCGTCCCCCGGAGGTCGCGCAAGCCCACGCCCTAGCAACAGGAGGTGGTCGAGGAAGGTCGACTAGTCTCTTCGGTTACGCACGGTTCGTCTTTGTACTCGTCTCCAAGTATTCTATCGTGTTACGGCTATGTTACGGGAGACATGGTATGACGTCCTGATGGATAGGTGCCGACCACTTGAGTATCACGCTCGTACCACTGCAGCTGTTTCACTCCCGAATGGTGATATTAAAGATTGATGCCAACGCAGCGAGGCTACAATGTGGCCGCCGACTTGGTCTGGTAATCGTTCTGAGCTGATACTAAGCTCGTCACTAGCTATATACCTGTATCAGACAATACTCTACAATATCGTGAGACGGCGCATTACTGCTTCTTGTCGGCCGGCTTGCCGCGTCCTCGGAAACCCCACTCAATCTGACCCGTCTGTCGGATGTCAACCCCAAGGTCGTCTGCAAACGACCAGACCAGTCCGGGGTTCTTCTGGAACAGGCGCCCCACAAAGATGACATCGGCCTTCCCCTAGATTACCATCCGCGATACACCGTCAGCCGGTCAAGGAGCATCTTGCCGTGGCAAAGAAGCGTACCTCGTCGAGGATACTCTGAGCAAACTTGCCCTCGTGTATACTGCCGACTGTTGACACGAGAATCTTGTCACCGTGTGCCTTCTTGACTGCCTCAGCGAACGGTACTTGGTACCCGGGGACACCCTTGATTTGTTGCAGAGGGCTGTTTCCGGAGGACGAAACGTCGAGGAGGTCTACGCCATGCTCGGCGAGAACGGCTGCGAGCTTGACAGTGTCTTCCGAGCGCCATGACTCCTCTGCCGGGAGCACATTCTCGAGCCAGTCAGTTCCGGATACGCTATCCAAATCAAATATTTGTAAGAAGTGGGCGACAGCTGGAAAGCAATGAACGACGTACCGGAAGAGGAGAGGCGTAGTGGGCGGGATGACGCCGCGGACGGCGTCGACAACCTCAACTGCAAGCCGGATGCGGTTCTCGAAACTGCCACCATACTCGTCTGTGCGTTTGTTCGCAACGGGGCTCAAGAACTCGCTGATGAGGTACCCGTGCGCGCCGTGGATCTCAATCACGTCGAAGCCAGCCTTCACCGCCCGCTTCGCAGCGTTGACGAAAGCTGTGACGATCTTCTTGATCCCCTCCTTCGTCAGTTCCTTCGGTACGATCCAACCATCAGCGTACGGGACCGCGCTCGGGCCGACTACCTCATCGGGCCACCCGCCTTGATGCTCTAATGCAGGCGCGCCCATATGGATGAACGGCGCGAGCGTCGAAGCTTTGCGACCGGCGTGGGCGAGCTGAATCGCGATCTTCTGGTTCTGGGAGTGCGCGAACTCGACGATCTTTGCCCAAGCCGCCGCTTGCTCATCCGTCCAAATCCCAGCATCTTCAGGGGAGATACGACCCTCGGGGGCAACGGCGGTCGCTTCGACTACGGTGAGGCCGGGTCCGCGAGTGAAGATTCCGCCAACTTCGGGCAAGGGCGTCAAGATGCATTGCGGCAGAAGAGATGAAATGACGCACGATGGGCGAACTGCCACGGACCGATAAGACCATTCTCAGACGAGTACTGGCATAAGGGAGAAAGCTACAGGAGGATGGTCTGATCAGCAACACTTACACAAAGGACCACCACAGACGCATACACGCAAGTCTGGAGAGATACTCACCCAAATGCGGTTCGGGAACGTTACTCCACGAATTGTAAGAGGCTTGAATAGACTTGGGATTTCTTTTCCATCCGGTTGTGGGTCAACCGCGGTACCGGCTGGCGGGTGTACCAAGGGTACGAAATACGGTACGCCGGGCGCTGGAGCATTGTGGAGGACAGCAGTGCCGACCATGGTAAGGTGCTGATAGGATGCGATGGGGCAAAGCTACAAGCGATGAGAAGAAAGGAGGGATGGACTTGGCACGAGAGAGGGTGATCGCGATGGCGGGATATATATGGTCGATATCCATGGTATCTCAGCATCGTTCGGCTGCCTGGGCCGATGTCGCAGGATGAGGATGAATCAGCGTGCTGAAATGCGTTTCGATGAGAAACGCGAAGAACATAGAAACGGCTAGACGGCTGGTAGGCTGGAAAATACAATAACAGCCGCGAGAACGACATACCATTACCGATAGGAGGTGAAATTCGGCCTGGCTGAGTAAGGCTCCACGCTCATTCAGCAGCTGGTAGACGTCGACTCGCCAGACATCAGCTCAAGTAGTCCAAACCAGTTGCTTGTCTGCGGGCGAGAGCCTGGCTGAGCGGTCGACTAGAGTCGTCAAGCTCGGATATACACCACAACGGCGATAACCAGGAAGGATCATCGCATATGCATAGCTGTCTTCACGACTTTCAAAGAGCGGTCGCTGTGCAGCGTGGGTGTTGTTGGCGGCTCGGAAAGGATGCGGAGGCAAGTATCGAGTGAAATTTACATTCCAGAGTGCGACGGCCGTTGACTCAGCGACAGCGATGTGCCGGTCGGGCGACCGGTCGGTAAGTCACCATGGTCGGTCTGCTCGAACCCTCTACGGTAGGCTCTACCATTCTCACGGCCGCGGAGTACGGCCTGCGTCGGGTGCCCTCTCGTCGATCAACAGCATTGAATATTGAGCCCACCAGTCCGCTTGCCACCGACCGACCTTCGACTCTCGATGACGACGCTAGCCGCCCGCTTTCCTCCCACACCTTTTGCTACGACCGCTCGTTCTCCTCTATCGCTTTGCGGAATGCTTGGTCTCTCATTTATGTCGTCCTGCAATCGCTTACGACAGACCCCTTTCTCTGTTCGACCGGTATTCGAACACTTCCCTCAAAGCTCTTCCATGTCTGTGTTGGCGTCCTGTCGCTGGTTTCCTCGGGCGTTGCAGTCTCACAACGAAGTCAGCAGATCAGCTGCGTTGTTTTCAGGGCCCGTTCGTGCAGAAGCCCCAGGCGAGCGTCTCGCCATCGACCGCCTGGCCAGCTTGAGAGGTCCTTGCATGTTTTCACTACCGTTACCCGCAGTCTCTGGTCAGTTGCCATCTGACTCTTCTGTAGGAAGCTACCTTTTGATAAATGCAACTTTAGCTACTGGCGCGCCGTCTTCGGTTCCACTTACAGAACGCTGCATATAAAACTATCCACACGCGGACCATTGCATGGTTAGCCCCCCGGCCATCTGATTATGATTATTGCTCAACAGGCATTTCTCCATCCATGCTACTGGCAAACTAGTTTGACGTTGCCCTCGCCGCACTTCATTTGATAAGCCGCCCCTACTGCGATGGGTTTCCTCCGGCCCAAACGCAGCATGCATGGGCGGCGCATTCGCAACTAGCCAGCCCGCATTCATCGGGCGGCCAACATCAAGACGCAGCGATAGTGACAGAGCGGAGCTTAAGTCCGATGGCGATAGAAGGAGAAATGGATAGCAAGCGCCCCCCCACTTTTGGATTTACGGCGGTCGTATTCGAAGCGCCCCCCCCCACTCCAGGTGGGCAGCTCCTTATACCCAGTCATCGATTCGTTAACGATGTCGTGCCATCTTGTAGTCCTCTTGTTCCTCGTCTAGCTACATAAGCAACTTCGCACCAGGCTCCTCCTCTCCATCGCACTTGCAACAGCTCGCCCTTCCTTCGCTCCGCTGCCGATCCCACCTTTACCTTACTGTACACCGCGCTACGCACCTATCGGACGCATAATGGCCGACGCTAAGGCACAGAAGAGACAGAAGTTTGAGAGCATCTTCCCTATCCTCCGCGACGAGCTCCTTGGCTATCTTGAGCAGGAGGGCATGCCGGAGGATGCAATTACTTGGTTCCAGCGCGTGCGTTCTCGTATATGCTTTTCCCGTTTAGCACCCGTCCTGATCACGGCTTGGCACGTCCGCCGGATGCTACCCACAGAATCTCGACTACAACGTCACAGGCGGGAAGCTCAACCGTGGGATGTCTGTTGTCGACTCCGTTGAGATCCTCAAGGGACGGAAGCTCACCGACGACGAGTACTTCAAGGCTGCTCTTCTCGGCTGGGGTGTCGAGTTCGTGAGTCTCTTACGCTCGATTGTCTTCTCCTGTGTCTGCCTGCGCGTTCTCCCCTCCGTTACCCGTACTCCTCGTGTCCATAAGGCTTGTCCTTCCCAACTCATAATCAGGTTCGCACACGCATGGATGCTGACCACAGGCTTCCCTCACAGCTTCAGGCCTACTACCTCGTCTCGGACGACATGATGGACCAGTCGATTACTCGCCGTGGACAACCATGCTGGTACCGCGTTGAGGGCGTGAACTTGCTTGCTATCAATGACGCATATCTGCTGGAAGGCTCCATCTACTATCTCCTCAAGAAGCACTTCCGCTCCGAGCCGTACTACGTGTACCTCCTCGACGTTTTCCACCACACAACTTTCCAGACCGATATCGGCCAGCTTATCGACCTCATCACTGCCCCCGAGGACAACGTCGACTTAAACAAGTTCTCGCTTGACAAGTATGTAGTCTTCTCCATCTCTTTTGCGTGTACTAATCTCCATCTGCGCGTGTAGGCACCAGAAGATTGTCATCTTCAAGACCGCCTACTACTCCTTCTATCTCCCCGTCGCCCTCGCCATGTACATGTGTGGCATTCCCCACTCATTGACGAACGACCCCTACGAGCTCGCGCAGAAGATTCTTGTCCCGCTTGGCGAGTACTTCCAAGTCCAGGACGACTTCCTCGACTTCGCTGCGCCTCCGGAGGTACTCGGTAAGGTCGGCACGGACATCATCGACAACAAGTGTTCATGGTGTGTTAACACCGCGCTCGCGATTGCGACCCCTGCGCAACGGAAGGTCCTCGACGAGAACTACGGCGTGAAGGATAAGGCAGCCGAAGCGCGTGTGAAGGCGCTGTACGAGGAGATTGGCATTCGGAAGAGGTACGCCGAGTATGAAGAGGGTGCGTACGAGCGAATCATAGGTCTCATCGAGACTATCCCTACCGAGGGTGCGGACGTCGGCGCGGGCGACGTGAAGTTGAAGAGGGAAGTGTTTAAGGTGTTCCTCGACAAGATCTACAAGAGGCAGAAGTGAGTCGCGCGCGGCCTTTGATTAGGGCGAGGGCGAGGACGGCAGCCAGAAGTGGACGTCGGTTCTGTTGTACAAAATAGCTAGTCATGTATCTCCTGTACATTTGGAGTACGTATGTGGGAATATGACTTCGTGTTCTAGCTCAAACAGCCAAGTATTGGAAAGTCTGAAACCTGTAAGAATGGAACAAGGTCCACAACTTCCCAACAGCTAGAGCAATTGTCTTTAAACCAACTGGAGGTCATGGGGGAGGCTGTGGGGCACCTGGGTCACCAGTTTGTTTTAGGTGAAATGACCTCGTTGCGGCACTATGGCCCTTGTTCCACGGAAAACCCGGAACCAAGGGGCTTGGTTCCAGTTTCCCTGGGATAGGATTCAATCTCCATGGACGAGTCTAAGGTGCAAGGTGTCAAAGAATGGCCTACTCCGACCAAGGTCAAACACGTTCAAGCTTTCCTCGGACTAGCCAACTTCTATCGGCGTTTCATCAAGGACTTTGCCAAGATTGCCCGACCGCTCACTAAGCTCACGTGCAAGGACATTCAGTGGCAATGGGGAGAGGAACAAGAACAGGCCTTCGAAGGACTCAAGACCGCGTTTACGACAGCCCCAATTCTTCAGATCCCGAACGACACAGCTCCATACAGGCTGGAGACAGACTCATCCGACTTCGCAACAGGGGCAGTTCTGGAACAACTTGGAGAAGATAAGCTATGGCACCCGGTCGCCTTCTACTCCAAGTCCCTCAATATTCACGAGCGCAACTACGAGATCTACGACAAGGAGCTCTTAGCCATCATCCGAGCATTGGAAGAATATCGACACTACTTGGAGGGACACCCTGAGCCAATCGAAAT